ATTACACTTCGTGACTTTGAATCTCAGCAGCCATTTCTTCGACCATTCTTGGAGCTCACAGAGATCCTTCTGTAGCTCTTCACAGTCTGCTTGGTTCTTAATTTCCCGAAATAACTTGGCATTATCCGCAAACGTTTGTATGGAGGAGTGTACAGCTTCTGGCATGTCATTTATGAAGCAAACAAACAACATCAGGCCTAATACACTGCCCTGTGGTACCCTGCTTGTGACGTATACACATGATGATTTCGTGCCATTAATCACCACACACTGCTTGCGGTTATGGAGAAAGTCTCAGATCCACGCTAGGACATTTCCTCGAATCCCGTACCTTCCAGTTTAATTTTCAGCCTTTCATGGGGTACACAGTCAAAAGCCTTGGCAAAATCTAGATATATACTTGTATTGTCGATATTACCACCCTGTTCCAGAATAAGGGTCCAAATATCCAATACCTTGAGCAATTGCGTTAAGCAGGAGCGCCCCGGCTTAAAACAGTGTTGGCAATCCTTTACAAGGTTGTTTCATAGAAGATGTTTCATCGCGGCATCTCTGATTATTCTCTCAAGTACTTTACATATTATGTTGGTCAGGCTCACCGGTCTATAGTTGTTCGTGGAGTGAGGATCGCCCCTCTTGAAGATAGGACTCACATGAGCCTCTTTCCATTCACTGGGGACCTATTGTTCATCCAGGCATTTACAAAACAAGATCTTCAGGGGATTGGCAAGCTCGTTGCACAACCCCCTTAGCACTCTAGGAAGTACCATGTCAGGGCCGGGATATGGACCTTTAGCTTTGACATTTATTTCTAATACCCTCTTCTGTGAACACAATGTGGGTCAGTGCTGTGTCGAACCATCTATCCTTAAATGCAGGAAGGTTAATCGCATCTTCTCTTGTGAACACCGAGGAAAAGAAGCTGTTCAATGCCTCAGCTTTATCCTGGTCAGAATCTGCATAACTACTATCTTCAAGCCTCAGGTCTGATACTCCTACTCGCGTTTTTAATTTCGACTTTGCATAGTGGTAAAACGCCTTTGTGTTTGACTTGACCTCGCTTGCAACCAGCCTCTGGAGCTCCTTTTCAGCCCTTCTACACTCCATCTTTGCTTGGTTTCTGGCTCTTGCATACATCCCTCTGTCCTGCTCATCGTGTGACCCAACCCACATCTTGAATTTCTGGGTTTTCTTCTTAACTTTGTCGACCGCCACATGTGTAGGGATCCCCTTGTATTTCTAGGGGCACTGGGTTTGGTCTTGGGTATGTAATTGTCGATCAAATGGGTAACTTTACTAGTTGTGATATTCACTACAGGGTCTACGTTCTTGTGCCTCATGAGTCAGGTTAGTTGATACCCCTCATCCCGTTGTAATTTCCCTTGTAATATTTGCACGTTGGCCTGGCCTTATCTTGAGCTAGGTAACAGTTAAACCTGAATGCCGCGATGAAATACTTACTACGAAACAACCTTGTAAAGGATTGCCAACACGGTTTTATGCCGGGGTGCTCCTGCTTAACACAATTGCTCAAGGTATTGGATATTAGGAACCATATTTTAGAACGGGGTGGTAATATCGACAATATTTACCTAGATTTTGCGAAGGCTTTCGACAGTGTACCCCACAAAAGGCTGAAAATCACACTGGAAGGGTAAGAAATTCGGGGAAATGTCCTAGCGTGGATAGAAGACTTTCTACATGACCGCAAGCAAAGTGTGGTGATTTATGGCACGAAATCATCATCCGTAACCTGTCACAAGCGGGGTACCACAGGGCAGTGTATTGGGCCCGCTGTTATTTGTCTGTTTCCTAAATGACATGCCTGACGTTGTACACTCCTCCATACAAATGTTTGCTGATGACGCCAAGTTATTTCGGGAAATTAACAACCAAGCGGACTGTGAAGAGCTGCAGAAGGACCTCTGTGGGCTCCAAGAATGGGTGAAGAAACGTCTGCTGAGATTCAATGTCACAAAGTAAGAGGATGCACCTGGTGCGTACCAACGGTAAGGAGGCTTATCATATGTCCAAATGGGATTAAAAAAACTGTACTATTTGAGACTGAATGTGAGAAGGACCTAGGTGTGTATGTTGACAAAGAGCTGAAGTTTTCAGGCCATTGCGAGAAGGTAAATCAGGGAAATAAATTATTGGGTCTTATAAGAAGGTCGTTCAGATATCTAGACGGTCCGCCCCTCGTAACGATCTTCAAGAGTGAAGTGCTTCCCCATCTGGAGTACTGTTGTGGGGTTTTTGGGATGTTTGGTTCACACTCAGGATGGGGTGGAGAAAGGAAACTCACAATGTGCTCTCCATATACATGTTGAATTGGATGTACAATGCAGCTTGGTACTGGGAAGGCAGTATATAGTTACAAGCGTGATGTAGAGAGAGCTGGTTGGTGAGGATGCTCAGAGGAGGACAGCTTGTGGGTCGCCATGCTCGCCGGCGGGAGCGAGGACCGCCAGGCAGGAGGAGGAGGTGTTGCTGGCTGGTTGGTGTAGGTAGAAAGAGGCAGGTCACCACGAGGTCAGGTCTTAAATAGCGGGGGGTAGGCGTGGCTTAGTAGTTGACCCCCGCTCCGTGATGTATGGCGGCGCTGGTTGACCTAGACCACGAGGCACACACTGTGGAATTCGTGGGGTCAGCTATGCAGCGACAAACAGAGTTTGTAGGGGAGAAATCCAGTATACTGTCACCCCGTCTGGTCCCTGAGATATGCTAGGGACTGTCAGTTGGTTGAAAATGTTCAAAGGAGGGCCACCAGACTGGTGCCTGCACTTCGGCACCTCAGCTACCCTGAGAGATTGGAGCGCCAGAACTTGCCTAGCTTATATTACAGACGGGCAAGGGGTGACCTAGTTGAGGTGTATAAGCATCTCAGAGGGCACTACTCAGTTGAGTGTCCTTACTTGGAGCTGGCGGACGCTCGCCCCACAAGGGGTCACAGCTCAAGATTGAAGAGGCCGCAAGTCCAGAAAACTGTGAGGGCAAACTTTTTCGGAGTGAGAGTTGTGAACTCTTGGAACAATCTACCAGAAAGTGTTGTGACGGCACCGAGTGTGAGCTCTTTCAAGAACAGATTTGACCAACACTGGAGCAGGTTCAGGTACATTCATGAGCCGGTGCATGCCCAGTACTTGCCAACAGTGCGTAACAGAGACGTGACCGATCGCCCAAGCAGCTAACGAGCCGATTAGTGATGAAGAGGATAAAAGTAAAAGTTATGGCATGCAATCGCATGTTTCAGTCAGGGCAGTACCAGCAATAGCCTTCATGCCTGCCTTACCGCATTTCCTTTCCCTTCGCCGCAATGCTTCTCTCTCTCTCTTTTACAGGTACTTTAACGGGCAATGTTTGGTGGATTTGGCATTCTGTGTACCGCCGGCAAGGCCGTGGGCTCGTAACACACGTCTTGCCCGCGGTGCCCACCGTTTCTCTGTGGATGTCGATCACACGAGAATAACCCTGTGGGGTTCAGGATTGTTTGGTTCACACTCAGGATGGGATGGAGAAAGGAAACTCACAATGTGCTCTCTGTATACATGTTGTATTGGATGTACAATGCAGCTTGGTGCTGGGAAGGCAGCATGGTTACAAGCGTGATGTAGAGAGAGCTGGTTGGTGAGGGTGCTCAGAGGAGGACAGCTTGTGGGTCGCCATGCTCGCCGGCGGGAGAGAGGACCGCCAGGCAGGCGGAGGAGGAGGAGGTGTTGCTGGCTGGTTGGTGTAGGTAGAAAGAGGCAGGTCACCACGAGGTCAGGTCTTAAATAGCGGGGGGTAGGCGTGGCTTAGTAGTTGACCCCCGCTCCGTGATGTATGGCGGCGCTGGTTGACCCAGACCACGAGGCACACACTGGGGAATTGGTGGGGTCGACTACTCAGCGACAAACAGCGTTTGTAGGGGAGAAATCCACTACAACCCGTTATAGTACCTCCTTCTTTCCTTACACAGCCAAACTGTGTAATGCTCTGCCTTCTTCTGTGTTTCCATACTTATATAATCTGTCTCACTTTAAAAAGATGGTTTTCCGGCGTCTTCGTGGTGTAGATTAACACAGTATAACCCTTTTCTTCTCTATATTCAATTTCTTTCTGTTCTTATTTTTTTCACCCCCCAGGCCCCGTTGTGGGTCGTTTGACCTGTGCCCGGGTGGGCTAATTGCCTTAAAAAATGCATGTCAACAGACTTTCCTGGTGCCGCTTCAGCCCCTGATTCCAGTGTTGATGTGTCGTGTGCTGTGTAATTTTAGTGCAAATTCATTTCTGTAGTTAGAAACTGGACGTGAAAAAAGAAACTGCTAAGTCAGATTTGGCAGTTACACATAAATAATATGACGGAAATGTGAGGCACTTTTTTAAGTTCAACCCAAACCAACACTGTCACTTATTCCATATTCAGTAGTGAGCGTGTAGTTGCCAGTAGTGCTCAATGGGAATTTGATAATGAAGACAGTATTAAGCATCATTATCTTAGATATATTTAATTCACATAAACTACAAGCAACTAAAATGCTCTTGTTTAGAACTATGGTCGTGGTAATTATACAATACATTATTAAAGTAGGTCAGCTTCATAAAGTAAAGATCTCCCATAATCAATATAGTGTATTACAGGTATAGGCTTGGTGTGTTATTTGATGTTTATCTTAGCATTAATAAAATAGACTTCATTTTATTTCTTATTCCTACATGTATGTTTACTGATGAATCTGAAATAGGATAAGAATATTTATTTATATCTATAGATAAATATTAATAAATGACCTCGTTATGGTGTTTACCTCCTTCAAGTTTACCAAGTTTTTATATTCGCGATACAAATAAAATACCATTAAATACATAAAATTCTGTTGTCACGTCTCATAATATACATAAATCGTCATATTAATTATTTAAACATAGATATGGCAAATATTAATAATATTTTATAGTTATGAAGTTATTAATTGAAAATACTTTTATTACTTGCCAAATTAAGATACCACCAAACTGTAGATGACAGGGAAGGAACTAGGGGAGGATGAGTGTGTGTGTGTAGTGTGTCAGGTGTGTGTAGTGTGTCAGGTGTGTCAGGTGTGTATTAATAATGGCTAGAGTGTCCCGTCTAGGTGTGTACATGACAATATACTTATGCCTGTGTCTGGTAGTAAACGTGGCCCTGGTGGTGATGTTCTTCAATGGTCATCCCTGGACGAGCCTCACACTGGCACCTCGGCCATGGCACACTAATGGTCAGTAACTTAATTTAGTATTATGGTCTTTTAGGTCATCCAGGGTATTTATGTAAGGTGGGAGTAGTTAGGTTGTATCCGAGAAGCAGTGCTGTTTATAGGTGAGTGACCGAAATGATAATTATACCGTTATTTTACTACACGATTCATCACTACTTGGTCAAATTTTATTTTTGGTCATCCCTGTATCTTGATATCCAAACCCTAACCTAACCAACCTAACCTAGCCAACCTAACCTAACCAACCTAACCCTAGCCAACCTAACCCTAGCCAACCTAACCCTAACCAACCTAACCTAGCCAACCTAACCTAGCCACAGAACCCAGTAACTACAGTATGTCTAACCTAATTGGGGACTTCGCTCCCCCGGACTCCGACCGATTTTACTAGTTAAATTCAAAGATTCCCAGGACGACCGAAACTAAAATAATACGCTGACTAAGTGGCCGTAATGATGTCCTTTGGGGAGGAGGGGGAAATTTTTCTAACACTTCAGTAGAGTATTTGTTTAATTGCCAAAATGAGCTTTCGTCATATACTGTATTAACCCGGTAGATGTTCCCGGTAATTGTTTATGACTTCACAGCCGCCGATTTTTTAAGGAAAACAAAATTTAGAATGCTGCAATTTCACTGTGTTTTATAGTGGATAATGTTGTAGTTATGGCAAATGTGTTAAAAAGTGTTTATTTAAAAGTTCAAGTTAACGTAACCTAACCTCACCTAACGTAGTGTAACATAACGTAACCTAACCTAACCAAGCATAGCTTATCTTAACAGAGTACAGGTTAAGCGGTGTATGATTGGCTGAGTACTGCCGCATAACTACCGAGAAAGACAAAATGTAGTGTGCTCCTATTCATCTAAATATTTACCAAACATAACAGTTTCCATAAAAATGATTACTATATCAGAACACACTAATGAAAATATAGTAAGAAAATAAACACTAAAACAATTCAACTCGTCAGCTGTGAAGTCCTCATATTAGCCGGCATCCCATAATGACTATGTACGGAACTCTGTGGTTAATAGTGACGAGATACCCGCAGACGTTTATGAGTCGCTCAGTCCTGGCAGCTGCTCTCACGTTCACAAAAAACGTCAAATGACACCATATAATAGTAAGTTCCTTCTGTTTAATATGCCGGGGAGCTGAGTCCCACGGCTAGAAAGTTAGGTAAGGTTAGATAGGTTTCTTTGGTTAGTTTGGTGAGGTCTTCTAACAATGCTTCTGCAGCTTGTTTTTCTTATCAACTGTGGTCAGGTTGGGTTTAATATAGAAATAACCACTTTAACATATGAGATACCCTACGCTGATTATTCATAGAAAATTATTTTAAAAATGCCGCAATTTCACTGACTTTTTAGTGGACACTTATAGAAAATCGGAATGACAATGCATATAACTTAATAGAACCTGACCTGACATACATAGCCATAACCTAACCTACCTAACCATACCTAACCTACCTAACCTTTCTTAACCTTTCTAGTAGATAGTAGGCAGCTACCAAACAGGGAGGTACTACCACCTGGGAAGATATTGGAAGCATAATGTGTTGTCTAATGGTAGACCCTGCTGCTATATGGCGTCACGAAAATTATGACCAAGTCCCAGGTTGATGATCTGACTTTCTGCCTCATTTGCACAATTGCAGGTCACAATTGTTTCTCTTACTATTGACAAGACAACATACATATATTGTTTCTCACTTTTGATTTTTTTTTCCATTTTGTATTTCTTTATGGTTTATTATTATTATTATTATTGTTATTATTATTATTATTATTATTATTATTATTATTATTATTATTATTATTATTATTGTTATTATTATTATTATTATTATTATTATTATTATTATTATTATTATTATTATTGTTATTATTATTATTATTATTATTATTATTATTTTATTTTATTATTATTATTATTTTATTATTATTATTTTATTATTATTATTATTATTATTATTATTATTATTACTATTATTATTACTATTATTATTATTTTATTTTATTTTATTATTATTATTATTTTATTATTATTATTTTATTATTATTATTATTATTATTGTTATTATTATTATTATTATTATTATTATTATTATTTTATTTTTATTATTATTTTATTATTATTATTTTATTATTATTATTATTATTACTATTATTATTATTTTATTTTATTTTTATTATTATTATTATTTTATTATTATTATTATTATTATTATTATTATTTTATTATTATTATTATTATTATTATTATTATTATTATTATTATTATTATTTTATTATTATTATTATTATTATTATTATTATTATTATTATTATTATTATTATTATTATTATTATTATTATTTTATTATTATTATTATTTTATTATTATTATTATTATTATTTTATTTTTATTATTATTATTTTATTATTATTATTTTATTATTATTATTATTATTATTATTATTATTACTATTATTATTATTTTATTTTATTTATTATTATTATTATTTTATTATTATTATTATTATTATTATTATTATTATTATTATTATTATTATTATTATTATTTTATTATTATTATTTTATTATTATTATTATTATTATTATTATTATTATTATTATTATTATTATTTTATTATTATTATTATTATTATTATTATTATTATTATTATTATTATTATTATTATTATTATTTTATTATTATTATTTTATTATTATTATTTTATTATTATTATTATTATTATTATATATATATACAGTATATATATATATATTTTTTTCACCACCTAGGCTAATGTGGGTCAGTGACCTGTGCCTGGTGGGCTAATCCCCAAAAAAACAACCTACCTCACCTTTCTTAACCTACCTCACCTTTCTTAACCTACCTCACCTTTCTTAACCTACCTCACCTTTCTTAACCTACCTCACCTTGCTTAACCTACCTCACCTTTCTTAACCTACCTCACCTTTCTTAACCTACCTCACCTTTCTTAACCTACCTCACCTTTCTTAACCTACCTAACCTTTCTTAACCTACGTAACCTTACAAAACCTAACCTAACCTTTCTTAACTGGTCGTCAGTGTACTGTCCTTCCTCCATAACCTCACGTAAGGACGGAGGAAAATCTCTAGCCGCCACACGGTCAGCACTCGCTTCTTCACCACCAATGTTGATGTTGGTGATATTGTTCCTCTTCTTAAACCTATGCAGCCAACCAGAGGAAGCATTGAAGGGTTTGGGCTCTGCTATTCCCATCTTATGTGACACTGCTGCGTATAGTTCACGTGCGTACTCTTGAACGGATCGCGTGTCCACCGCCATGTTGCGTCGTGCCTGACGAATCAAGTAAATCACCAGCAAATTTTCCACCTTTAGCAGCACCTTGTTCTGGCAATACTTGATCATTGAAGCACCTGCAGACTTTGTGATTCTCATGTGCTCTTTGATCTTGGCTGCATCCTTCTTAATAGTACAAATCGTAGATTCATTGACGCCATGCTGGCGCGCGAGATCAGCTTGAAGGTGTTCCTTTCTCCAAATCTTGAATTATCTGGTATTTCACTTCGTAGCTTAGGGAACGTCGTATCTTCTTTGGCTTAGGGCGGCTGGGTCCAGGTAAGGAAAGGTTTCTCTCTGGTGGCGGTGGTTTGGCGGAAGCCATTTCACAGAACAATGGATGCACGTATACACGGTGTGGCCTGGAGGGATGAAACTGCCGCGGTTAGGTCAAGCGTCGTCTTTCCTCCCTCCCTCCCGCGGGTGGACACGTCATGTTACTTTAAACCAATCACAGCTAGCAGCGGAGGGAGGTAGGGATGCATGGCCAATCACAGTCCGATACGTCATATGGTGTCAATGATAATGCAACAGAGACATGCACTGCGCAACCTTACCGCTCGGCTTGCCCAGGCGGGAGCAGGCAGGAGGAAGGAAGAGGCGGGAGGGTCGAATCTAAAAATAGCGTCGAGCCAGACACTCTGCGCGTGTATGGGTAGATGCACCGCGGAAAGTGAAAGTTCGGTTCTGGCGAGGCACCGCGTAAATGAGAAATCGCGTAAAGCGGGGTAATACTGTACTCAGTATCATCCAAAGAACGTCTCCTGAAATTTTGGTGAAATCAAATAAAGTCCTTCTGGTGCTGACCGTTTCCTCCACCATTACCTTTACAGGGGCTATTTACCTTATTTATGGCATGGCTATCCACGAGAGGCGGCCATGCCGAGGGAAGGTGGCCAGTAGGCTGTGTAGGATCCTTCCATTGTTCTGATAATTATGTCAAGGGTTATTTTGAAGCCCAGTACTGTTCTTGATTCCACAACTGGACTGGTAGACCATACCAGAGGTCTACTACCCTCTGTGTGAAGACGTATTTCCTTATATTCGTTCTGCATGGTAACTTGGTGAGCTTGTAGTTATGTCCCCTTGTGTGACATTACAAACAAATGTTCCGGGTTCATGTTTTTCTTCCCTTTCGGGATTTTGAACGTTTCAATGAGATCTGCCCTATTGTGCCTTGTCTGAAGGGTTGTTAGTTCTAAGGCCCCCAGTCAACTTGGTTAATTGAGATGACATAGTTCCTGAATCATCTTGGTCGCTCTGTGTTGCACCTTTTCTAGGGATGTTAGAACTTTCTGGAGGTAGAGTTTACATGCCTGTACAGTATACAGTAATCCAGATATTTTCCTAACCGTATTCAAAGATACACTTTATAATTCCCAAATCACAATTTAATTTCCTCACTGAATGATCTATCACATTGCCAAGATCTTTCTCCTTGTCGACAGTATCCAGGAAAGTGTTATTAACAGAATAGTTGTGCTTAGGGTTGTTGTATCCTATGTGTAGGGTCTTGTTGTAATGTTAAAGACCATTTGCCAGTCTCAAGACCATTTGTTTGAACACCTCATTCAGGTCTTCCTGCATTGTTGTGACATCGTCCTGACTTGCTACCAGCTCAAATATCTTCATGTCATCCACAAACTTGACTATGTGGCACAATATATTTTCATCTATGTCTTGTATCTAGATCATGAGCAAGGTGGGTCCAAGGAGAGAGAGAGAGCCTTGTGGTACTCCACTTAGAGCCTTTCTCCATTCAGAATGTATTCCATTTATTATTACTCTTGTTGCCCGTCTTCAAGTCAGTTGTTAATCCACATCATAATCTTGCTTGTGATGCCATGTGCCTAGATCTTAGAGGCTAGTCTTTTTCATGTGGGACTTTGTCAAATGTCTTGGAGAAATCAATGTACAACACATCCACTGGTGGAGCCTTGGTCCACGTTGTCTGTTTCTGTTTCACGGAGTGTGAATAAGTTTGTCAGACAGGATTTTTTCTGTGAAACTGTTGTGCTGCATTAATAAGACTGTGTTCGGTCAGGTGTTGGATGATGGCGTCCCTCAGATTTTCTCGAAGAATTTGTATATACTGATTGGCCTGTAGTTTTCTGCTGCGCTTTTCCTAATTCTCTTGTATAGCTGCTGTCTTGGGGTAACATTGGCTAATTTCCAGTCCTTAGGCACTTTACCTTGATTATTATAGGAACATTTAATATATTTTTACTGTACTGTAATGTTTTGTTAGATTGTATTGTACAGTAGTGCACTGCACTGTTACTTCATTATTTTTGGGGGTACAGTGTTTTTCATGATGCTAATGATGATGAAAGAAATGGACCTGTGAGAAAAGGATATTTTATAGAAAATTATTTCCAATAATGTGCCATTAATTTTTCTGATGTGTTATTACTCCTTCCTTTAAATTCTTCATTGACAGTTATTGTGAGTTGACAGGCAACACAATTCATTGTTGTGAGTGTAAGTATAGTAGGTGCAGTACTATTTTTTGGCTTAGAAGCAGGATATCTCCCAAAATGTACAGTACAGTACTGTATTACAAGTTCCCAGCAGCAAGGCTCTACAAACAGTTTTCACTTTTTTCTATGGGGAGCTTAAGTACCCGTAAAAGTATAAGATAATCTAGTTGATCTGTACATGATTTTTTTCTTATCAGGTGATGGGATTGTATATCAAGGGTGTAGTGGCTCGTGTTAATGATTTCAACCATCTCAAGACAAATACTGTATATAGGGTATTTACATATATTCTTTTATTGTATTCTAGAATGGGATCCCTCTAGTGGACGGATCCTGAAGTGCAGTGACCTTCCTACCATTACCAACCTAAGCATTATAGGGTCTGGATGGACAAAGGCTGTGTATCTGTGAGTCATAAAAAACTCAATTTCACTTTTCTTAACTAATCTTAGTTAATTTGTTTCTTGTATTTAAGTCTGAAATATCTGATTAAACTCTGCACACTTATACAGTACAGTATATTAATCTGTGAGGTGAAAGTCTGGATTAAAGAAATTACTGTACTGTACTGTATACTGTATGTTAATAAAATCAAAACATATTGGTTTTGTGATTCTGATAAAATGTTTTAGTAGTGCTGTGTACTGTACTATACTGTACAGAAATACTGAGCTTTCTCTTAACGTGTTTCTGTAGTATTGTATTTCTCTGCAGAGGTCAGTATGGCAGTGCCTGGTTGGCAGTTAAAACTGTGCACACCACAGGCCACGACATGACTGAGTGCCAAGAGGCAGTGAGCGTCTGCTATGAGAGGTGTGCTGCCAAGATCTTGAGGGAAATGCATCTGTTACAGATGCTGTCTCACGGGAATGTCATCAAAGTAATACATCATTGATCACTTTAATGCATATCAAGATTTTCTTTTTTATCTCAAAATTTGGTAGAGGACAGTATTTTGAAGTCATTCTCAGGTACTCTCCTTTGATGAGAAACGAAGGATTAGAGTCTGACCTCCTGTTTTATTGCCAAGGGTAGGAATCTGTCTGTGCCTTTCAGGGATAGCATAAATATTTAGGTAGTTTACACTATCCAGGTGTATTAGGCTTGATAATTCTGGTTATTGTCAAGTCTACCATTGGCTCATGGATTCTTAAGTCTGGAATCAGTTGAGTGGGAAGTGTTACTCGCAGTTGTTGGCATCTTGTCTACATGGTTAGTGTGACCTACCATTAGAATATACATGTAATGCTCCCTTTGCAAGTTCAACTCTTTTGTAGACACTTACTGTAATACTACATACTGTAATAGCTTTATTCTTGAGACTGATAGAAGATAAGCACTCAACATGTTGATTATAAGACCTTACAGTACTACACAGGTTAGATAAAAACTAAACATGTGATTGTTAAGAACTTGAGAGTCATATTCTGTAAATTCTGTAAGAGAAATGATCACAAGGTAAAATAATTAAAAACTGAAATCATTATCAGGTGTTTGGAGACTGTTTACCTGGTGTGGAGTATTCCCCGGGCCCTCCAGTAGCTGGTGTTGTGGCTGTGATCACAGAATTGGGACATCCCATTGATGTCATTCAGGTTCTTCAGATGAACTTTGAGGAAAGACTGAAGGTAAGTCATGCTATGGACAAATCACTAGTACTCATTAGTAACCCTGAGAGTTCTTTTTTCAGAAGGTTCATTTTGAGATTTCATAGGTTCTAAGTGTGATATAATTGAAGTGAACTTTTTATGTACATTACTTTCTAAATATTAATATGCCTGGAAATGAGAAGACTTAGCTACTGGTAAGTTGCAATTGCACTTAAAGTAGTAATAAATTTAGGCTTCATAAGACACGGTGTGTTCAATAATCCAAAATCTGAAAGCTTCTAAAATATTAATACCCCTCACATTTAAAATTCCTGTCAAAATGGTGTTTGAGTTTTCAAATTTCACTTTTCAGATTTTTGTGAACTGCCGTTACCCTTTTAAATTTGAAGAGGTTAGCTCTGTTTTTCTGTGGTACATACTGCATTTGCTTTATTCTACCCTTATACTGTAATGGCATCCGAGATATAGTGGTGTGAGTTGTAGTTAAGTGAAATTCTTTGTAAAATATATACAGTAAAATACATCAGTGTGTCATTGTGTTTATAATATGATCCTATAAGCTCTTAGAGTTTTATGCAGAGTGATTCATATTAGGGCATTTGCAAAGTGTAGACTCCTGCACAAAGCTAGATTAGCCAACCTTGATGAGCATTTTGTGACTAAGACTACAAGCAAGTTCATTAGCAATTTTAGCCTTTATGGGTAACCTGAAGTTTAGGCCCCCCAATTGGTTACCTAAAGTTTGCTTCCAGCTTAACCAGCTTGAAGTTTAACCACCCTAAAACTATCTAGGGGGATAATGTTCAGGTGATCCGTAAAGGCTAATGTTACGAATGTTGTGGTTTCGTTCATGGTCTTAAGTATAGTACTAGTGACGTGTGGTGTAATGATTAGCATGCTCGCCTCGCAAGCGAGTGGACCCGGGTTTGATCCCCGGGCAGGGTGAAACTGTGGGCAAGTTTCTTTATGCCATTTGCCTCTGTCTACCCAGCAGTAAATGGGCACCTGGATGTTAATCGATTTGCGAATCGTGCTCCGGTAATAGTTAGCCAGTGCAGTTGGCCAGTTGTCCGGTCATGCAACTTGTTAACTCAGGGTGTGGTTGTTGTGTTGGCAACAGCTTCTACACCTTAAACAAATTCACGCCTAGGTGGCCCTTGGGCCAGCCATCCTCATTACATGAAGGGCAACCATTAGTCACCCCCATGATGTTCATTAGCTGTCAGGAACTATCATCGGCTAACCTTGTAAACAAATTTTCATTTGCTCTTCTCAGTGGGTTGACTTTTTGTTCCTATCAAGCCATGGAATTGGTTTTATTACATTTATGATTATTAGTAACTAGTTCTGCCATTGGCCAATAATATACCTCAAATTTAAGGATACTGTAATGTGTAATATGTACTCAGTGTGGTAGGTGTCTGCCAGATGCACCAAGCTGAATTCAGAGTCAGGAAATGTGAGTGGTACAAGGTTGTATGGTGTATAACTGGCCTGAGAACATAGATATTGACCCAAATTGGAATTCAGTTTCATTTAACAGCAGCATGGTGTTATCCACTACTAGTTAAAGTAAAGAGTTAAGAAATAGTAGTGACCTCAGTATTATGAATACAGTACAATACTCTACTGTATAACATTGTGGGCAATTTTAATATCAAAGATATATCAAAATAACAAAGGATTTAACTTTTAAATTATGTTATATAGCCAGGTGTATATTAAAGTTTATTATTTGTTTTCTAAAGAGCTATTAAGTTGAAGATAAAACTTTTATATATTGAGACAGATTTACTTTTATTAATTTTCAGTTGGCTTCTGATGTTGGAAGGATCCTCAATCACCTGGCAACATCACCTCTTGGAACAGTTCTCATGAAGGACTTCCGAAGGGAGCAGTTTGTCATCTCAAATGGATCACTCAAACTGTCTGATATAGATGATGTAGTAATTGGAGATCCCTCATGTGCCAGTGACCATGAGTGTGTCATAAAGGATGGGGTCAAAGAGGATGTTCTTGTAAATTGTAAGTACAATATTGTGCATAATAGTGAGAAGCCACAGATGCTCTTACATTGTGGAATATATGGATGATAAGTCTATTAATATGTTGTAGGTTATTGTGTATTGTGTTGTCTGATGTTGGTTGCTTTGAAAACTCATTTCTGCTTTGGGATGAAATTTTAATTTGACTCATAGAGACTGCTAACTCTCCAGTTAGATGTCATTTGTTATACTGTATCTGTATTTACACACAGACACCTGCAGTACGTACATTGTTGAAACTACGGCAACCTCTATTGCAGGCATCAAAGTAGTTAATTCAGTGTTGGTATCTTCAAGAAGGGCGATCATCACTCTACGAACAACTATAGACCGGTGAGCCTGACCAGCATAATATGTAAAGTACTTGAGAGTATTATCAGAGATGCCACGATGGAACATCTACTACGAAACAACCTTGTAAAGGATTGCCAACACGGTTTTATGCCGGGGCACTCCTGCTTAACACAATTGCTCAAGGTATTGGATATTTGGACCCATATTCTGGAACGGGGTGGTAATATCGACAATATATATCTAGATTTTGCCAAGGCTTTCGACAGTGTACCCCACGAAAGGCTGAAAATCAAACTGGAAGGGTATGGAATTTGGGGAAATGTCTTAGCGTGGATAGAAGACTTTCTACATGACTGCAAGCAGTGTGTAGTGATTAATGGTACAAAATCATCATCCGTACCTGTCACAAGCGGGGTACCACAGGGCAGTGTATTGGGTCCTCTGTTGTTTGCTTGTTTAAAAAATGACATGCCTGACGTTGTACACTCCTCCATACAAATGTTTGCCGATGACGCCAAGTTGTTTCAGGAAATCAAGAACCATGCGGACTGTGAAGAGCTGCAGAAGGATTTCTGTGAGCTCCAGGATGGTCGAAGAAATGGCTGCTAAGATTCAATGTCACGAAGTGTAAGAGGATGCACCTGGTGCGTACCAACGGTAAGGAGGCGTATCATATGTCCCAATGGGATGAAGAAACTACACTATTTGAGACTGAATGTGAGAAAGACCAAGGTGTGTATGTTGACAATGAGCTGAAGTTCTTGGGCCATTGTGAGAAGAAGGTAAATCAGGCAAATAAATTATTGGGTCTTATAAGAAGGTCGTTCAGATATCTAGACGGTCCGTCCCTCGTAACGATCTTCAGGAGTGAAGTGCTTCCCCATCTGGAGTACTGTCATCCCGTCTGGTCCCCGAGATATGCTAGGGACTGTTAGTTGGTTAAAAATGTCCAAAGGAGGGCCACCAGACTGGTGCCGTCTCTTCGGCACCTCAATTACGCTGAAAGATTGGAGTGCCTGAACTTGCCTAGCTTATACTACAGACGGGCAAGGGGTGACCTAATTGAATGTGTTTAAGCTTCTCAAGGGGCACTCCTCAGTCGAGTGTCCTTAATTGGACCTGGTGGACGCTCACCCCACAAGGGGTCACAGCTCAAGATTGAAGAAGCCGCAAGTCCAGAAAACTGTGAGAGCAAACTTTTTCGGAATTGAGAATTGTGAACTCTTGGAACATTCTTCCAGAGAGTGTTGTGACGGCGCCGAGTGTGAGCTCTTTCAAGAACAGATTTGACCAATACTGGAGCGGGTTCAGGTACATTCAGGAGCCGGTGCATGCCCAGTATTTGCCAACAGTGTGTGATAGAGACGTGACCGATCGCCCAAGCGGCTAACGAGCCGATCGTTGGTGAAGAGGATGAAACAAATCATATCATGTTGGGAACTACAGGCCAAGGGAATTTGGAAATCGGATCAATCTTACCCAGAAAATTCTGGCTTTGGGAAAAATTTTCAGAGGGTCACATTTTCTGGAAAATTCCCCAAAAATTTCCTGGTACCCAGAAAATTCCGGGGATGAGGAATTTTTATGCTGGGTTTGATAGATGAAAAAATGCATCATTCCGAGGATGGGGGATTTCTTTCCGGGTTTGAGAGATGATGTAATGCGTTATTTCTTGATCTGAGAAATTTTCCTGTTACCCGGAAAATTCTGGGGATGAGGGATTTTTTCCGGCTTTGAGAGAGTCGTCTCGTTACCCATTAATCTCTCATACCCAGAAGTGCTCTGCACCAATTGTTCCGGCTAATGGAGGCATCACTGTACTGTATACGCAGAGACAGTGGCAAATGAATTGGCAATATGGATCTTAAAGATCATTAGCCCTTGTATGGCCATCATCATCTTTCTAATATTTTGTATCTCCCATCTTAGTCTCTTTCATTTGAATCTAGAAATGACATATTTCTAATATAAGGAATTAATTAAATCATCTTGTGCTTTACTGCTCTTTAGTGACGTGTGAGAATGGGTCATGCAAGGGATTCAACAGTCGACTTAATGCCATCCACGCCAGCCAACACTTCATGCGTATTCTGATCCCATATGGAAGTCCATCAGCCTTAGAAAACACTTGTCTACATATTGTGAATAAACAGTCACGTGGGATGTTAGATTCTGAGGCTGTACATCAAGAGATCCAGACTATAGTGAAGAATTATTCATCTGGTGAATATTTGTCTAATGCTGAGAAGAGTGTGATACATAGTAAGTGGTTGTTGTTTTTAAGATGTTTAAGCACAACTTTTAACAGACCATATCTTTATTTGTATTTTTTTTCTTGTTTACAGAATAGGACAATGTACTGTATACAGGGTCTCGGCTATTCGTGTATAATGGATTTTCCCCACAGCTTCTGGTTTCAAATGCACTATAAATTAGCTTAATATTTACCAGTGAACTTGATGTGTTAATTTGGTGTCACAGAAGTGTAATAACTGACCTAAGTATTACCCCATAGTTTACCATTATAATGTATCAGCAGCGAACAAATACTCAATTTCAGTGTCATTTAGAATTTTTAATCTATACAGTATTTCCTTTTTGCCATAAGAAGTGAGATAATTAAGCCCTAACAAAAACTGTATACCTGATTCAGCTGTTTACAATATGTGCATATAGCTGAGGGGTGAAGTAGGTTGTTCCTATAGTGGATTTCAGTGAGTGATCTGTAGTCTTTGACCTGATTAGCTCCACTGGCCCTTTAGGCAACCACTTAATTTATTTGGAGCAAGTGAATAGGAAGGTTGCACTGTATTTATTGCTTGAAACAATTTATTATCCATTAACCTGCAGCTGGTCATTAACGTTCAAGTACGTGATCGCCGATGTTACCATCTCTGGTCATTTGCATACTAGAACGTTTTCTAAATATACTTTCCCTGTGTCTTTGAAATTGAGTCTACAGTAGCTACCATAATATGTTGGCTGGTGGTGTCTGGCATCTTCCCGCCACTTGGCATTGAGGAACCCGGGAAGACCCTCCCATCTCTTCCCATAGTCAAGGCCACTTTTTTTTTTTTACACAGGATTAGCCTATCCGAGCACAGGTCACTAACTCACATTGGGGCCTGGGGACAAAAATAATAATAATAATAATAATAATAATAATAATAATAATAATAATAATAATACAGTTATGCGATTCGCGGTTTAAACTGCTGGCGATTCTACATTTACCGCAGTACCAAAGCCAGAACAGAATTTCATTTCTGTGGTGCATCTACTCATACTCTGTGGTGAGTATAATTTTTATTTAGCTCATAAAATTCATACAAATTACCCGGCCAGAATATAATTTACATTGCTGAAATTCTTGTATGATGATCATTTGAATATAAACATCATGGATTTTGCATTAGACATACAAATTTTAGATCTAATGTAATAATTTGGTTTACACAAAGCAAATATTTTATCTTTTGTGCAAAATATATGAAGTTTACATTCAAAATATTCCCTGACCTGCAAGGAATCCAGAAATGTCAATTATATTATCCTAACTTTAGTCTGAGGTATTATTTATTACCAAACGTTAAAATCTAGTGTTTTCACCCAAACATTTCTCACAGAGGTAGGAGCTAGTGAGCTGGGAAGAGGGGGGGAGGGGATTTGAGTCCATTATTTGAATGGACATTAACCTGGCGACTGTATTTCTCTTAAATAATAATTGTGTGAGCATACCATCATAAAATTTAGATGTTATTTTTAATACAACATAGGTATTGTGTCGGAAAAAGTGGAGTTTGGGGGTTGGGCCAGTATCGATTGGAATTAATCCCATATGTTCTGTTGTTCACTTTACGCGGTTTTCACTTTCCGCGGTACCCTGTGGGTTCAATTGACCGCGTAAATAGGGGTACTACTGTGTGTATATACCGTATATCACGGCCTATAAGGCGGCGGGGTGCATAAGACGCCCCCCCCAAATTTCCATTTAAAAAGTAGCTTTTGAGCTCTATTTGCTGTATAAGACCAGTACCCCAAATGTGACACTTACCCACTGACTCAGTAGTCCTTTACCAACCATCCTTGATTTTTTAAAATAAGGCCAATTCACTTCAAGTAATGTCATCAAATTATACCCGCTGGTGTAGTGTAAACACTAGTGACGTCACTGAAGCGTCTGCTATTTACCGATAACTGGAACTAATGTCGGTATCGAGTAAAATTTTTCCATTTACTTGAAATGGATTTACCGATTTATTTGTTTACTTATTTATTTATTTATAATATACTGTAACATATTAAACACACTGCAAGTATTTTCTTTCATTTATACGCTTGCTTCACACGAGACGATCGGTGGTGGGAGTGTTCCCTCGTCTCGGTGGTGTGGCTGTGTTCCGACTATTTATACAACATGTAGTTCAACAGCAACCACCGTATTCTAATTGTGGTGTTTCATTAGGATTTGAGTGAAAAAGGTTACCAGTATGTACTTACTACATACATTTATTACACAAATATATATATATATATATATATATATATATATATATATATATATATATATATATATATATATATATATATATATATATATATATATATATATATATATATATACTGAATATACTATGTACAACAAATGAATGTTCAATGAATTATTTATGGTGCATTAGGGTACTGGCCACTTCAGACGGGCTATAAATAGCCTTGTTATCTCCCCTCCATCTCACCCTGAGCCAGACGGAAGCTCTTGGTAAATAACATTTGTTTGCTTATTTTCCATTTACTTGAAATAGATTTACCGAATTATTTGTTTATTTATTTATTTATAATATACTGTAATATATTAAACACACTGTAATTATTTTCTTAAATTTATAAACTGTTTTGCGACAAAGGAATGTTCTCCAGTAGTGTTTCATTAGGATTTGAGTGAAAAAATATTACGTACTTACTACATACATTTATTACACAAATATATATATATATATATATATATATATATATATATATATATATATATATATATATATATATATATATATATATATATATATATATATATATATATATATAGGTTGACAACCCTTTATCCAAAATTCCTTAAAGCTCTGAAAACCAAAAGTTTTTTTTTGTGGGGCATTTTGTTTGTTTTTTTAACAGGGATTAGCCCACCCGGGCGTAGATCACTGACCCACATCAGGGCCTGGGGGACGAAAATGTAATAGTAATAATAATTATAATAATAATAATTATAATAATAATAATTATTCATAGTAAATAAATTTTTTTATAAAAATACACCAAAATAAAAAAATATGAGAACATTAATACAGGTTGTACCTCTCTAGTCCGGCATTCTGTGGTCCGGAAACTCCCATGGTCCGGAACGATTTTAGTTTGTCCAATAGGTAGATAGGCAGCTTTTTTTTTTTCTTTTTACTTATCTGAATTATTATTATTATTATTACAGGAGTATTAAATTTTTGCCCCTCAGGCCCTAATGTGGGTCAGAGACCTATTCCCGGGTGGGCTAATCCCCTTACAAAAAAAACCCGCGGGTAATTAAGGTTTGTTTACATCCGGCAGTTCGGCTGCTCTCTCTCTCTGCTTGTCTATACAGAGTACAACATTTAACCCTTCAATATATATGAGCAGTAAATAAGTGTTGCTTTCATATTCTTATGTAGAGTAATGACGATATGTTTTCACATGTGCACACTTACATACACGCAGTCTCACTTTTTTTTTACCATTAATGGTTAGCTACTTGTATTGTTCCATTTATTAACATTAAATAACATTACAGGTACTTCAAACAACCATATTAATTTTTTTACATTAATTTTACTACAGCTACAATCAGGGTCTTATTTTCTTCAGTTTTATATGTAGAACCAATCAGTCACTGGTTTTGTAAGCTTTAACAAAAACAATGCCGGCAGCCGTCTCGTCTCCTCGTGTGTTTTAATATTCCACGTGTTATTAATAAATTGTATTGTTAATTTTGCACACACGAACATTAATTCAATAAAAACAAATTCAGAAACATTAATTAAAATATATATGAACAGTAAATAAGTGTTGCTTTCATATTCTTATGTAAAGTAATGACGATATGTTTTCACGTGTGCATAAGTCTCTCTTATTTTTTGCATTTGTAATTGGCTACTTTCATTGGTCCATTTAACATTGAATATGGTATATTGTTTTCACTGCATTGGGGATATGGGTTTGGCGGGCAGGTCAGGTGCTTTGGGTTTGTGATAAGCGAAGAAACTGAAACATAAAGGTGGTTTTAATCGTTCTAAATTGCATTCGATAAGGACTTAGTATGACAAGCAACCGGCCAGGGAGCTTTCACTTCGTGGGCAGTAGGTCACTTTTACCTTCACTAGGGGAACCGCTTGCTTGTTAGATATTTTTAATGATTGGGAGAAGGTATGGTGACTCATACGCAACAGCAAGAGAGTAGTTGTAAGAGGAGAGCTCCGTGGCCCTAAAAGCATCAGTAATAAAGTAATGAGTACAGTATGTAGTTCTCAAACTACAACTGCTTAAGTTGTGGTTGAATATAAGACTAAGAAAGAAGATATTAAGGAAAAATAACAATGAACATAAACATTTGAGAACAGGTTAAGCTATCAGTTGTGATAATAAAAGAAGGTAAACTTTTGAACATCTGTAAAAAAAATTACAGTACAGTAAGTCCTCGCTTAACGTCGTCCCGCTTAACTTTGTTTCGGTACTACGTCGCTAAACTTTAGAGACCAAATTTTCGTTTAACGTCCCGATGATCCGATACTACGTCATTTTGCGTCGTCACGGACTACTCTTTACTGCGCATTACCCGCTCTCGTCTGGCCGCGCTACACTCTCTCGGCTTGGTGCAGAGTCTCAGTGACTCGCCACCCTCCTCCTCCACTCCCCCCCTCCTCCTCCCCTCCTCCCATCCTCCTCCTCCGCTTCACTACCCATCACACACTCACTCTACCACCTCCGCCCATCGGTGTACCAATACAAACTTAGTAGTTGTATATGTATGCATTATTTTCTATAGAAATGGCAATGATTTTCTGTATATGTAATGTATTTCATGGGGCAAAGGGAGGCTCAGGAACGTAACTCCCGTATTTTATCTATTTCTTATGGGGGAAATTGATCCGCTTAACGTTGTTTCTTATAACGTCGCGTTTTTAGGAACGTAACCCCGAAGTTAAGCGAGGTCAGTACAGGCATCACTCGTTTAACGATGGCAATGCATTCCTGAATAAAGTAACGTTAAATGAAATTATTGATAGATGAGAGATAACAAGTAATAATAACCGCGGAGATGGCATGTTACCATTGTTACAGTATTAAAACTATAAAAGTTGTGGAATAATCATTATGATACTCTAATGTGGCTTAGAAATAAAGAAAATATAATATAAAACTATAAAATAAGACAAATATATGTGTGAAAAGTGTAGGTACATATGTTTGTGGAGGCAGTGGGCTGTAACTGCATCACCAGTTGGTCAATCCCAGTTGCTCCTGCCCCTCATGTGACATCATGGCATACACATAGCACAGCGCGGCAGCAGCCATATGTCTCTGAGTCAGCTGGGTGACTGCTTGGCTGAAAATGTGTTGCACCGCCCAGTGGATGGTTTGAGTGTGGAAGGAACTATTTTTTATACATAAAAATGTGTGATATTGTATTTTATGATATGCTATCTATCAATTTAATTGTTGATCCTAGCTATTTTGTGCTCAGTTTTGATGTAATATGAATTTGTTTGAATTACACTCGCCTTGCTAACTCAACCATTTAACTCTGAACCACATTGTTTGTATAGAAGTTTGGTGTTAATAAATCAATCGTTCAACTTCGAAACCATTTATAACAAACTTGTTTATTATTATTAATAGGGAGTACAGTACTGTGCTGTGCTCATTGTTTACTGTCCTGTCGTTTGAACTTGTTGTTTGCCCTCCATGCTTTGGTATTATCCCTTGTTCGGCGAGAATTACACTAAATGTTAGGTTTATCATGAACGCAAGGGATAACCTATATTAGAATAATATTTTGGGTTTTCTTTTTTTTTAGATTGTATTGTGTTCCATGGTTCCACTGTTGTTGGAGGAGACTTCTCTTGTTCTAAGACACTCAGCAGAGGATGTTCACAGTCAGTGTCATCACCAGCAGAGGGTGCATGGTTGTGTTCACAGTTTCCAGAGTGTGTGGCATTTATATTAACTGATCAGTGGACATGGACAGGTATGTTTATTTATATTGGCGTATGTGTTTTGTTAGTGATCCTTCCTGCATTATTCTACCATCAATCCTTTTGTTACTAAACACTACATGTTCTATTTGATTTGGTGATGATCCATTGATCACCATTAATATAAATTTTAGTCCTCAAGCTGCCAGAGTCTAATCCAATTGGCTGTTATAAAGGATTTACACTTGTGTCAGTAATAGACAGAGTTGTAAGAAGTATTGGACTTTGTTACTTAAGTAAAAGTGTTGTTACATTGGCAAAATGTGACTCAAGTAGAAGCAAAAGTATCCAAAGTTCAATGTACTCAAGTAGAAGTAAAAAAGTATCTCATTCATAAAGTACTCAAGTACTGAAAGTAAAAAGTAACAACAAAATTATTGTCTCAAATATTAAAATAAATCCCCAGTAAATTATATAAAAACCTAGTTAACTAAAAATATAAATAAAAGACACAGCAATTATCAAAATTATGGCTGTCCAATCGGGATCTTTTACTCCTAAATATAAACCCAGCATGACCTACCGAAAGAGAATACTTTCAGCTGCTCTTCTCCCCACAGTCCATCGCAGGGATAGTGAATGGGCTGAAAATATATCCATCCAACACTATGATCACTTTCTTCCTTATCCACACAAGTATCGTCGACGTGGACTTATGGTCCACAGACATAATGTTGTCTCTGCTTGCATTAGGTTAGGATACAGACCTATCCGACATGTATTATCTGAGGTGGAGGATGACCCACACTTCTCTTCCTGTAAACTCTGTAACTGTCCCAATGCTAACACCCTTCAACACTATTGCCTTGACTGTCCCACTGTCAGGGACTTCCTACCACAGGGAGAGTCACTAACCACTATATGTCATAACCTACTTAGCCATAAAAATTTAGATTTAATTCTTGTATGCTACCCACACTTTGGTGGGTGCTAACTCCCACAATATTGTCTCCATATCACAAGTCACAGCGTGTCCTACGAGACACGAGTACCAATGTGTTAGTGTCTGACCGCATGGTCTTGTGACTGGGCTTGTTGCCCCCTGAGGTGTAATAAATTTATTAATAATAAATAATAAGCCCAACATGACTAAACAAATGCTCACAGCAGCAGATGCAGGCAGTGGGGTGTTAAGCTTGAGAGATAAGTCACATAATGTTGAGAAAGACTTCAGTAGCTCCATTTAATCCCCTGGGCATGCCAAGTAGCTATCAAGTTCCTTCAGTTCCTTCAGTTTCTGCATCTGACTAAGACTCACTGTGAACTGTCCCTCTAATTGGGGGTCTGGCTGTGGTGACATCACTTTTCGATTCTAATTAATGAGTGGCTGAATTTTTCTCACCACGTAACATTTGGTGGGTGCTGGCGAGGGGGGTTGGTACTTAATTATTTAAACAGAATTTTAAACACTCAGTCTCACACATAGTATAGATACAGACTTTATATCTAAGATGGAATTATTTAAAGCATTTTAGAATCACAGCATCTTTGAAATACATTTAAGGTACAGGTATGTGCAAAGAGCAACTGACAGGAAGACCAAGGTGGGGAGAACAGAGGGGATTTGATGGGGAGGGGGGATAAGAGGGTTGGCTAGGTGAGGTGGGTGGTCAAGGTGCTAATGGACACAAGAAGATCAAAGGAAAAGTCCGCTGTCATGGTAACTGCCACCTGACCTGACCTCACGTGACCTCTAGGTATGTGACCATGTGGTGTCTCCCCACACCCACACTGTACCCTTCACAGCTCCACCCACACCAACCACCCACACAACTCTTTTACTACGGTTAATAATGAATGAATTAATTAAAAAATATACAAACTTTGTTTGTTCAGGACATGTAATGGGTAACAATTTTTGTTTTTTTCAATTGTATTGGAGTAAAGGTACTGTATTAGAAAACCATACTGAAGTAAAAATACTAAAATATTTGAGTACTTTTTAAAAAGTAGATACCCAAAAATGTTGCTTGAATACAGTTCTCAAGTAAATTTATTTAGTTATTTTATCCATTTTTTATAAACTCTTCTTTCATTTGTGGTGGAGGTGGTGTTTGAATTATTGGAACCCATGTTATTGACTTGACCTGATGTTACGTAAGGTCACTCATTGTGTGGTCTTATATGTTACTGGTAACAGTTTCCTAAATACTCCCTGCTAAATAGGGGGTGCATCTTATATGGTGTTTTTTATATCATTATTTATAATTTTTATACATTTAGTACATTCACCTTTAGGCTGAAGTAGGTTTTATTGTATCATGTGCCTGAGGTGTCTCTGTAGGTGTGAGCGTATTAACGGAATTAATCTTGATTTAGCGAACTAGTTCACTAAATTGAGTGAAAAATAACGGAAAAAATTCCTTTTGCTTAATCGAGTTTGTTATATCGGATTCCGTTAAATCGAGAGTACTGTACTGTATACTGTACAGGTATATGTAATGTTCGCGACTTTTAGTGTAATGGTCAGCATTCTCGCCTCGCAAGCGAGCGGACCCGCGTTCAATCCCGGGCAGGGTGAAACTATGGGCAAGTTTCTTTATACCATTTGCCTCTGTCTACCCAGCAGTAATTGGGAACCTGGATGTTAATCGATTTGCGGATCATATTCCAGGGTAATGGTTAGCCGGTGCAGTTGGCGAGTTGTCCAGTCTTCTCGGACTATTCCTTGACACTGGGTCAAGCAGCTCGTTAACAAATTCATGCCTAGGTGGCCCTTGAGCCGGCCATCCTCTTTACACGAGGGGCAACCCTTATTATTATATGTAATGTTGTATTCTTTCTTTTACCAGGCCGCCAGATTGCTGTATTTAAAACGGGAGCAAGAGTAGTGAAAGAAAATGAGCGGCACACATTATACATTCGTCGTGGACAAGGCTGAACATCCACATCAAGAAATAGAAAAATTACCACATTCACTAAAATGTGAATTTTAAATACAGTACTTTTTAAGTTCAGTGTAGACTTCAAATGTTCCATAGCCTTACATTATATGGTTCATGATTATCTGACTGGTTGGAATTAATTTGTGAAAATATTTTGATTTAATCAGTATTCATATAAACATGTGGATGCTTAGTATGATTCTATAGTTAAAAATGTGTAGGTTTGTGTGATAGCAAACTAACATGTTGAGCTCGTTCGCAAATGCAGTGAACCTTACTATTGTCCCTTAGATCATCTGTAATGTGACTGCTCAGGATGTACTGGCAAGTTTGTATCACATTACCAATGTACTGTATGTATACCATATTGATATTAGGCCAGTTATTAAGACATATCTTTTGTAATGGTTACACATTGACTAATTTCATTAACAACATTGCTGAGAGACTAGCTGCAGGAGGAATGTTTTCAAAACTAAATTCAGTGCAATACAGCAATGGCTTAATCATGTTATATTTCTCATGTCGTGCCAGCAAAAGTCGGTGGCATAAATGCTTCCTTTATCCATTCATTTGTATATTCTCTTATGGTCTGCACTCAGGAACGACAATGTGCTTTATACTTATGATTAAATTCATTGTGGATGTTCTAGCCACAAACATATGGGCCTAGACATATATTATATTGGGTAAGAGCAGCAAAACCCAATTGTAGTTTCTGCTTTTATTAAAAAGTATTGTTTATATAATTCCTGAGTGTAGATCAACCGCAACTTCCACTATTTATGAGCGTGAAGGGAGAGGACGGCGGCTATGTAAATAGACCGTTTAATCACGTCCGTTCGATGTAAGATTATGAGTGTGACTGCCCGTGGGTGCCGGCTTATTCCGAGCTGACCCATGTGCTGACATATAGTCAACTGGGCCGCACCCTAAGGAGGCTACCATTCACGTGATATGAGCATGACAACTCATAGCAAGTGGAAAGTTACAGGGGGTGAATTAGTATATAAATCAAATGTAATGAACCCATTTATATAATACTTGTGTTGATGAGACAGGGGCCAGTACATGGAGCTAGATCAAGCTCAGTATCTGCAGTTACCTGTATTATTAGGTATGGGCCCATATTAGCTTGAAAGATATGATACATCTCACCTGCATTTATGACATATCTCTGATTAAACAAATGTAGGTCATCATAACCTCTACTGTACTATGTGTCTCATTAACCTTTACTTTATGTTCATCAGTGATTTAAGAGTTTGACATGCAGGTGTCTCCATTATTTACATGAAATTCAAGGAATGATTTCATCAACAAGCTCTCAATTCTCCCTATGAGACAGATTTTGTTTGTATCCAGGTGAATATTCTATTTATTATTATATCATCTTGGATATATCAGATATCACATCATACTAAGTTGAATGTTACCCAACAGATCACAGACTTCTGTGTCATTCCAGTTTGCTAACCCAGTACAGGTATCATCTCCTCAACACATTGTTTCTTGTATTATTGTTATATGTTGTGCTGTCATGTATACTGATAATAGTTATGTAGGGGATATTGTATTTCACATGGAAAATGTTTCACATGAACCATGATATAAAATATGAAATTAGATATACCTGTGCTTTACAGTATTGATTTATTACTTATTTAAATTCAACTTAGTCAACACAGCTTCACAAGTTTTGGGTTAATATGCTAATTAACCAGCTCATCCATGCCCCCTCTTCAGAGAGTCCTTTCTTCCATCAACAAACGGAACAGCCTGTTAATTTTTTTTTTACTTTGCAAATTCCAGAAGCTATTCAGATTCTCAAAATTTTTGTGTACATCAAGACAACAGCTGGGTGTACTATATATATATATATATACTGTGTATATATATATATATATATATATATATATATATATATATATATATATATATATATATATATATATATATATATATATATATATATATATATATATATATATATTTATATATTTATATATATATTTTATATATTTATATATTTATATGTATATATATATTTTATATATTTATATATATATATATATATATATTTTATATATTAATATTTATATATATATATTTTATATATTTATATATATATATATATATTTATATATTTATATATTTACATTTATATATATTACGTATATGTTACATATATATATATATATATATATATATATATATATATATATATATATATATATATATATATATATATATATATATATATATATATATATATATATATATATATAGTATATACATATATGTATATATATATATATATATATATATATATATATATATATATATATATATATATATATATATATATATATATATATTTATATATTATATATTTATATATATTTATATATGATATATTATATATTTATATATATATTATATATATATATTTATATATGTGTATATATATATATTTATATGTATTATATATATATATATATATATATATATATATATATATATATATATATATATATATATATATATATATATATATATATATATATATATATATATATATATATATATATATTTTATATATATTATATATATATATATATTTATATATATATTATATAGTTATATATTATATATATATATATCACGGTATATATATATATATATATATATTATATATATTAATATATTATATATTATATATATATATATATATATATATATATATATTATATATTATATATATGTATATTATATACAGTCAACCCTCACTTTAAGCGGTCCCACATTCCGCGTTTCCACGTTTACGCGGTGCCCTGCTGGAACCCAGGATGCTCACATTCCGCGGTGCGTGAACCCCTTTACGCGGAGAGTGTCCGGCTCGACGCTATTTTTAGATTCGCCCCACCCGCCTGCTCCCGCCTCCTCCCTCCTCCGCCCCCGCCTGGCCAAGCCGCACGGTAAGGTTGCGCAGTGCATGTCTCTGTTGCGTTATCACTGACGTCATATGACGTATCGGACTGTGATTGGCCATGCATCCCTACCTCCCTCCACTGCTAGCTGTAATTGGTTTAAAGTAATATGACGTGTCCACCCGGGGGAGGGAGGGAGGGAGGGAGGGAGGGAGGAAAGACGATGCTTGACCTAGCCGCGGCAGTTTCATCCCTCCAGGCCACACCGTGTAATCGTGCATCCATTGTTCTATAAAATGGCTTCCGCAGGACCACCACCCCCAGAGAGAAACCTTTCCTTGCCTGGACCCAGCCGCCCTAAGCCCAAGAAGACACGACGTTCCTTAAGCTACGAGGTGAAGTACAAGATCATCCAAGAGTTAGAGAAAGGAACAAGACAGGTTGATTTGGCGCGCCAGCATGGTGTGAACGAATCTACGATCCGGACGATAAAGAAGGATGCAGTCAAGATAAAGGAGCACATGAAGATCACAAAGTCTACAGGTGCTTCTATGATCAAGTATTTTCACAACCAGGTGCTTCTCAAGACAGAAAAATTACTTGTGAGCTACTTGGTGCGTCAGGCGCGACGGAACATGGCGGTCGACACGCGCTCTGTTAAAGAGTACGCATGTGAACTGTATGCTGCAGTGTCACGAAAGATGGGAATTACAGAGCCCAAACCCTTTAATGTTTCCTCTGGGTGGTTACAGAGGTTTAAGATGCGGAACAAGATCACCAATATAAACATTGGTGGTGAAGAAGCCAGTGCTGCGGCTAGGGAATTTCTTCCGTTTTTACGTGAGATTATGGAGGAAGGACAGTACACCGACGACCAGGTGTTTATCATGGACGAATCTGGTCTTTTTTGGAAAAAGCTACCTTCCAAGACCTTCGTTGTGAAGAATGCCAGCAAGATTCGGGGCCGGAAGATGCAGAAGGAGCGCATCACCGTCCTGTTTACCACCAATGCCTCCGGTACCTGTAAGCTCAAGTTATCGGTGATCCACACAGCCCGCAAGCCGCACGCCTACAAGAGCATGGACATGACCAAGCTAAATGTCCACTGGCTGACCGCACGTAAGGCGTGGATGTTCTCTACACTGTCCCTCTCCTGGTTTGATGACTGTTTCGTTCCCGATGTAAAGAAATTCTGTGAGCAACAGAATGTGCCATTCAAGATTTTGTTGCTGCTGGACAACGTACCAGGACACTCGCCCCTACTGTTAGATCGTCACCCCAACGTAAAAGTGGTCTTCCTTCCTCCCAACACTACGTCTATATTACAGCCCATGGACCAAGAGTTAATCTGTAATGTAAAAGCTGCATTATCAACAAAAAAATTCCAGCTCCTGAACAACTACACCAACACCAGGGAAGAGTTGTGTAACCTGAGTAACACCACCACCGATAGCAAGAGCGAAGAAGACGAGGATCAACAGTTAGAACAGCAAAAAATACTCTTCAAACAATTCTGGAGAGTATTTAACATCAAGAAAGCTGTGGACTTCTTGGTGGAGGCATGGGATCAGCTGTCTGTAGCAACTGTTCGTCACGCATGGAGACATGTGTTGCAAGGCATTCCGGGCGTAAGGCAGAGTCAATCTATGACGGGTGAGGTTCAGACTGTTGCAGTAGCAGTGGACCTTGCCAGAGAAGCTGCGCAGAGTGTTACAGCTGCAGGCTTCTCCGAGACCACCAACGACGACATCCTGGAGGTGATAAGGGATCCTGATGTGACTACCGATGAGATGGTAGATGATGATGACGTCAGTGAAGAGGCAGGTGGTGCGTCATCCCAAGAAGAACACCGCTTATCCCATAGTAATGTTAGGGGTGCCATCGAGTGTATTGAGAAAATCAAGCTCCTCCTTTCCGATGACCATGACGCAAACAGGTATGAAATGTTTACTGCCAGCTGTTGCAGACTATGGAGCCCTACTTCGGGTTATCCGACAACATAAACGCCAACCCCGTCCAGCAAAGCATAACCAGGTTCTTAGCCGCAACCCACCACAGCCAGCCCAAGCCAGTCATAGTGACAAATTAGCGGATGACAGTGATGGTATTGACTCACCTACGAGGGCCAGTAGCCTGCCCTCTGCCCCCGCCGGAACCAGCCCTCCATCCCATTATGAGAAGTGACCGTAAGAAATTAATTTCCAAAACCTAACTTTTAGTTTCTAACCTAACCTTTATTTTCCTAACTTAACCTTTATTTTTCCCTAACTAACCTCTTCTATATTACTTGTGTGTGCATACCTCATAAAGTTAAGATAAAAATTTTACTATAACATAGTTGTGTGTCGTCAAAAGTGGAGTTTGGGGGTCGGCCGGTCTCTATTTCAATTAATCCCATATGTTATGTTGTTCACTTAGCATTTCTACTTCCGCGTACCCTTAGGTTACATTAACAACGTAGAGAGGGTTGACAAAAAAAAAAAAAATATATATATATATATATGTATGTATATATATATATATATATATATATATATATATATATATATATATATATATATATATATATATATATATATATATATATATATATATATATATATATATATATATATATACAGTGACCCCTCCGTTAATGAACTCAATCCGTTCCAGCAGGTTGTTCGTTAACCGAAACCATTGTTTCAATGAGTTTTTGGGTAATTGGTTCCAGCTCACTGAAAATTTCCTAAATTCAACAAAAATGGTAGAAAAGTTCACTTACTTTGAGGTGTGTATGTAGAAGGCTCCTGGATGATGATGATGATGATGATGATGATGAAGGGATTTAGAATGGGGGTGGAGGAGAAGGAAAAAGAGAAGGCATTGGGGTGGAAGAGAAGTCACCCCATGGCGCCATTTCACCCATAAAATTTTAGCTCTCTTGGTGTAATTCAAGATTATTTTCTTTAAATCAACACTGCACTGCATTATATATTGTCAATATGTAAAATATATTTCAAAATGACCAATAATTTGCTTGAAAACACAGAAAAAAAGCGTTTAGTTGAAGAGAGCCTCAAGCAAGATGTTACCTCCAGTGAAAACAGAGAGAGACTAACGCCTGTTTGCTGTGTTAAAAGGCTGGATGCCGCGCATTAAACTAGTCACTTTACCTTCAATTATGTTCAATAATTGTTAAAATGACAAAAAAATTGAATATTAAACTTTTAAAATTATTGAATAGTATAAACTTCTTGATATTTACTAAAATAGTAAGGAAGTTAAGCCCCAGAACCGATTAATGTATTGGCGGACTGATACTAAAGCTGGTTGCCTGGTCAGTGCAAGCGAAAACATGTTGAGGTCGGTTCGTAAGAACTTCGTTAACCAAATTTTTTTTCGTTAACCGAATTGAAGATCCTTATGGAAGGCAGTTCGTTAATCGAAATTACGTTAACCGAGGTGTTCGTTAAACGAGGGGTCACTGTATATATATAGCATTTGTTTGTGTTAGATTATTATTAACAACAAAAACTTGAAGATCTTAACAACAAAAAGATTATCATTATTGAGGTTAATAAAATATACACATCTCATGGAATGTGAAATCATGTATTTACTGTTAACAATTACAAAGCAAGATCATATCTCTTTTAACATTTTCAGAGAACAACATATGCATTGTCAATTCAATTTAAAGAAAGCAAATGCAAACAGTAAGGAATCCCCATTCATTGGGAAATAATTAATAACATGAAGATACAATGTTCATGTTCATGGAATGAGAGGCAACAAACTGATTTGTGGTTTGTGGAATTGGTGCACTTTACATCATGATGACTATCAATAACAGGATGCAATGTTGGCTGCATTTTTGCCAATATCAAACAGATGAGGTGTTACATTACACTGCAATAGTACATACAAATATAATTCTCACATAACATTCACATCAACACAAATATTCATAATCTTATGGGAGATTTCCATTCAGTACAGTCATCCTTATATGTAAGCTAATTTTTATTTACAGTATTGTTATTTTCCAAATATTCTACATATATTAAAGCTGTTTCCTTACAACTGTATTTCACAGTATTGTTGCCTTTAACATAGTGTTGGTTTTGACTATAGTACAGTATACAGCAATGGTTCCCAATCTATGGTCATTGGCTCAAACTTTACTGGTCCATCGTATTTTTTTTACTGTCACTTATTTTGTTTATAATTTATTAGAAAAACAAAATTTTCTTGAACTTTGTGATCATTTATAATAATACTTTGCTCAGTTAATTGGTAAAATTTAATACTATATATTTAATCTGTGGCAACTGTCAGCTGACTCCTGGGAGGCCTGATGGATGATGATTTAGTTTTTAGTAAGTTGGTCAGGGGAGCAGAATGTCTGCAGTATCTAATTTTATTATTGTTTTTTAAAGCTACAATTGTCTACAATGTCGCATAAAGATTATAAAAAAGATAGGAATATACTGTACTGTATGCACCAATACATATTATATTGGAGCTTCACTACTACCAATATACAGGATATATATATATATATATATATATATATATATATATATATATATATATATATATATATATATATATATATATATATATATTTCATGTACGTAGATCCACAAATGAAAAACATGGATAAGATAAATTCTTGATAAAATCACATCGAAAAGGAATTTATTAGATTTATGAATTGAAACACATTCGTTCTATTGCACAAAAACTCGGGTACCCTTCTGTGTTTGTTGATCGTTGTTTTAAAAGGGCTAAAAAATCCTTTCATTCCTCTCAAACCAGACAAGTTCCTACACTTAAGAATATTTTGACTCTGCCCTATCGTAATGAATTTGTCCCGTTAGTTCGGTCCCACAAGCTACTAAATATTAATGTTGTTTTCACGTATGACTCAACCATTACCAATATGTTAATAAAAAATAGCCCAAGTTTGAATGTAAATGGAAGTGTTTATTGTATTCCATGTAGCAAATGTAATTGTAATTATGTAGGACAGACAGGAAAAACACTGCAGCTCAGAATCAAACAACATAAGAACAATATCAGAACAGCATCTGAAAGCAGTGCCTTGTTCGTTCATGTTAGGAATAATAATCATCCCATTGCTTGGGAAAAAAGCTTAGAAGTATTTAAATCATCTTGTGTCACAGAAAGACTTCTGGTTGAAGCTAGTTTGATAAGGAATTAAAATCAATAAACCTTAGTGATGGTCAGTTCAAAACTGATATGTTACATAAATTTGTCAGTGGCCCAAGGTTAAAAATGCTTTGAAAACCTTTGATCTAGATATATGATAGTTATTTAATGGGTCCCTTATTTTTGACCTGACTAGTCACGTCACCCCCTTCTCTTAAGCTCCTCTACGTGTGTGTTGGTGTGGGGATTAGTGGATGACATCATTATGACCTGACCTCATGTTTTATAAGGTCACCCTGTATATTTAAGCCTCTTTCTGTCCATGTAATCCAGTTGCCTCTGAAGATGTCTTGAATAAAGACGAAAGCTAAGGTGCTCCGTTGTTTCCATTTTCCCGTGTGATTTTATCTATATATATATATATATATATATATATATAAAGGCAGTTTTTGTGTAATTTTTGAGTCTCAGACCCTCCCTACCCCATCTTCCCCATTGTAGATATTTCACTGAAATTATCAGTCCCAATCTCACAAAATACCAAGGGTCCACTTTATATGAACTATATATACAGTATTGTAAATATAAAATATCTTCAATTACTTGTCAGCAGATTTTATTTTTTCACTCCACTGGTCGGTGAAGCTGGGAACCACTGGTATACAGCACAGTACTTGATCTTACCTGTTTCATGCATTAATTATTTTCATATGCTCAGTGGGAAGCAGCACATACGATATATACTATACGATACGATAAACAGTTGTGAGGAGTTACTACTATGCCAAGATTTTGATTTAGGTCATCCTCAACAATTTGTTCTTATTAACATCTGGTCTAAGTTTGTAAGACATTCATGTTAACTATATAGATGGGAGACATATCTACACAAAAATGCCTTCATCCCTCTACTCTTCCTCTGTTTGAGCTCTAAAATGCACCTGTTTATAAACACAAAACAAAAAGACTAAGTAAAGAAATACAATAAGACTCGTTTAGAAACTGCAGGGTAGCATAACAGATCTTCTACTCGTCACTTTCATGAAACTCAGACACTGTTACCATCTGAAATACTGTACAGTTCCGTTCAGAATTTTGTGATACAGGTACACTGGCAGTGGAGGGTGCATAGCCTGTTGCACCCTTCCTGATGACAGGTCACTGCACCTGGGAACCAGCAGACCAGCCATCAACTCCTAAACCACGTCCATGCCCAGTGAGAACTCTGCAGGCATAGGCCAGAGTTTATGTGTGACCTTGTGTCTTCTATGCCAGATAGGTTGCATCCAGTTATTGAGAAGGGGAGAGGCTGGACGAGGTACTGAATGATAATGTGGTAGATGGATTTCATTTATCCTTCTAAAGTGTAAGTGTTTTATTATTGCCAAATAGACATTGATAACTAAAAATATGCAGACTACAAAAATTTTTTACATAGACAATATGTAGAGGAAGAGAGGAAGAAAATATATGTATAGAATTTATTCAGGCTGTTGTGGATGGGTGTCGGAGTACTGTAATATCATTCATGGCTTATTGTGAAATGCATGGCAGACACCAACCCGAAATAATGCCCATTGGTTGTTATTATGCCCAATTCTAAAGCTTTATCCTGGTTTTATTTTAAAAATTTAGTGTAATTACTGTACAGTAGACCCTTGTCATTAACGAGTTTGCGATTTGCGGTAAGCATATGGTGGCTAGCCTGCAAGCCTTTTCCCACAGCACAATGAGTCACCTCATGCAGCATCACATGTTGTACTCTCAAAACTTTAGTTTTTCTGTGTGAAATGGCCCCTAAAAGACTGCCTCCTGTCAGTGTCAGTGCTAGTGAAGTAAAATGTAAAAGGCAGAAGTCAGTAATGACCCTGACAAAGAAAGTTGAATTATTAGATAAGTTAAAAGATAGGAGTGCTGTCGCGGCTGGTTGGTTGTGTAGTACTGTACTAAGGTAGGTTAAGTTGCTGTTTGCGGTTTTGCCACAAAGTATGCACAGATAGTTGTTTCAGCTACTGCACATGTGTATGTACTGGTATCTATAAATTTCCAGTGCATATCTACCAATACAGTATATATAAATGTTTTCTTATTTGATTTTAATCGCCAATTTTTTTCTTAATTTTATCAATTTATATAAGCAATGTCATCATGCCATGTAAAAGAGAGGAAAAAAAAGTTACTACATCATGACAACAGGGTTTACACAGTCATGTTCAGTGATGAGTAGAGTGTCAAGCAACAATTTGGGTTCTCACAATAACGATCAACATTAAAGGCATAACTACTCGAGAGTAAATATCCGGGCTGCAATGTCCCGAATCAGCCAATCAATGCCAGCTACCAGGTTCTCTCCCGTGACAGCACTACATGGCAAGATGTACCAGTGATGAGTCTTCAAGCTATTTAAATCTAGTATCTGGAGAAAAGAGAAATGGAATGTTAAATACACTTATTCTATTAAAAATTTTATGCATAAATAAAGACTAATGCTATTTCAATATATTGTAGATTGTTTATTGTACAAATTAAAATCATATTTTGATTCATGTTTTATTAATCAAACCCATTACTGTATAACAAAACATTTTAACTGTTTACAGGAAGATGGCCTTAATAAAACCCTATTTCATACTCAAAGATCCTGGCATATTTGTGATCATCTCCCCACTATTACTGTACATCCCTCTCATCCTTGTATCCCCCTCACTGTGCTTCTAACCTTTCTCTCTTCTGCTTTTCACCTCATTCAATCTGATTCTCAGTCCTTATCTCAACACATCCATACTATGCAGAAATTTCATCTTTATCACCAATTCCCTTCATAAACAATATCTCTCATTAGTTTCCCTAGTTTTCACTTCATTTACTTTTAAATTTCAGTCACTTCTGAAAAATTATAACATATGATAAAATAAACACATCAACTCACGTCTCTTATCTGTTCTGCCGTCAATGCTTCAGGAAGATCCTGCTTATTTGCAAATACTAGAAGTGTTGCTCCTGCTAACCTCTGAAAAAAAAAAAAATCAACCATATGTCTACAGAAAAAACTACAAAATGTAAGTTACAAATTATATATACTGTAGTACACAGAAGCAATAATATCCAATTTATCTCACCTGTTCCTCCCCCAATACTGTATAGTACATCCTATCACACAGCAAGATGATCCTTGCCAAGTTTCTCCAAATCAACATTACCAGAACATGATACATAAAAAGTACAGTATGTACAGTACAGCGCTCTCACAATGTAAAACTGAAATATGTCAGAATTGATCTCTTTTAAGTCCTGTACAGTACTTTGAACTTTTAGACAAAAAATTATAACCCCTGAAAAATCTCTCAAATACAGGGAACAACAAAATGATGGCCTTTGTGGTGACCTCATATATAAATATGGCAAGAGATGCAAACTTGCTGTCTAACTCCACAAGAAGTGTGTCCATGTGATGAACTCATGAGTAGTGTGTGATGTGGGATCAATGCCTGACTCACAAGGAATGTACCAATACTCCTGACTCACAAGGGATGTACCAATACTCCTGACTCACAAAGGATGTACCAATACTCCTGACTCACAAGGAATGTACCAATACTCCTGACTCACAAGGGATGTACCAATACTCCTGACTCACAAGGGATGTACCAATACTCCTGACTCACAAGGGATGTACCAATACTCCTGACTCACAAGGGATGTACCAATACTCCTGACTCACAAGGGATGTACCAATACTCCTGACTCACATGGGACATACCAATACTCCTGACTCACATGGGACATACCAATACTCCTGACTCACATGCTATGTACCACTACTCCTGACTCACATGGGACATACCAATACTCCTGACTCACAAGGGATGTACCAATACTCCTGACTCACAAGGGATGTACCAATACTCCTGACTCACAAGGGATGTACCAATACTCTTGACTCACATGGGACATACCAATACTCCTGACTCACAGAGGATGTACCAATACTCTTGACTCACAAGGGATGTACCAATACTCCTGACTCACAGAGGATGTACCAATACTCCTGACTCACAAGGGATGTACCAATACTCCTGACTCACAAGGGATGTACCAATACTCCTGACTCACAAGGGATGTACCAATACTCCTGACTCACAGAGGATGTACCAATACTCCTGACTTACATGGGACATACCAATACTCCTGACTCACAGAGGATGTACCAATACTCCTGACTCACATGGGACATACCAATACTCCTGACTCACATGTTATGTACCAATACTCCTGACTCACATGTGATGTACCAATACTCCTGACTCACACATGCTCGTGGCCTGCATCTCCTGACTCATGTCATGTAATACTCCTGACTCATGTCATGTACCAATACTCTGACTCACATGTCATGTCATGTGCCAATACTCTGACTCACATGTGTGCAATACTCCTGACTCACATGTCATGTGCAATACTTCTGACTCATATTTATGTGCCAATACTCCTGACTCACAATACTCCACAATCACAGGACATGCAATACTCCTGACTCACAAGGGATGTACCCATGCTCACAGGCTCACATGGGGCATACCAATACTCCTGACTCACATGTCGTAGCCTACGTCTCCCTGACTCTAGGGATGTACCAATACTCTGTTTCCCACATGTCATGTACCAATACTCCTGACTCACAAGGAATGTACCAATACTCCTGACTCACAAGGGATGTACCAATACTCCTGACTCACAAAGGATGTACCAATACTCCTGACTCACAAGGAATGTACCAATACTCCTGACTCACAAGGGATGTACCAATACTCCTGACTCACAAGGGATGTACCAATACTCCTGACTCACAAGGGATGTACCAATACTCCTGACTCACAAGGGATGTACCAATACTCCTGACTCACAAGGGATGTACCAATACTCCTGACTCACATGGGACATACCAATACTCCTGACTCACATGGGACTCACATGTCATTACCAATACTCCTGACTCACATGTCATGTACCAATACTCCTGACTCACATGTCATGTACCAATACTCCTGACTCACATGTCATGTACCAATACTCCTGACTCACATGTCATGTACCAATACTCCTGACTCACATGTCATGTACCAATACTCCTGACTCACATGTCATGTACCAATACTCCTGACTCACATGTCATGTACCAATACTCCTGACTCACATGTCATGTACCAATACTCCTGACTCACATGTCATGTACCAATACTCCTGACTCACATGTCATGTACCAATACTCCTGACTCACATGTCATGTACCAATACTCCTGACTCACATGTCATGTACCAATACTCCTGACTCACATGTCATGTACCAATACTCCTGACTCACATGTCATGTATCAATACTCCTGACTCACATGTCATGTACCAATACTCCTGACTCACAAGGGATGTACCAATACTCCTGACTCACATGTCATGTACCAATACTCCTGACTCACATGTCATGTACCAATACTCCTGACTCACATGTCATGTACCAATACTCCTGACTCACATGTCATGTATCCATCTACATGGTGTCTCTGCTGAGCTACACTATTCACTTCTGTCTTTAAAATAAGTTTAGCCATGGTTTCTGGTGAGGGATGTGAGCATGGTTTAAGAAGAGTAATATTCCAGAGAAGTTGAAGATCATAGATGAAGCTGAGCATCAAGTGCTTCAACAAGAACCGGTCTGAAGAAGAGCACATACATACTGTATTATGATATTATGAAGGATAAAGTTGCACAAAGAAAGTCTCAGTCAGCAGATTATAAAGAATTATTTATCAAGGAAGAATGGGTAAACTGGGATGCTGGACACTGAGGAGCTAAAATGGTACCGTACCTGCAACAGACTGCTGAGGGTGTTTCTGTGTGTGGTGTGGAGGTAATGAGTGTCACTGGAGTGCCTCTCAAATTTTGGAAAATGTTTTTAGACTTGTATCATCTCCCAATACTGTAAGTGTGAGACTGCAAAGGTTTACTGAACATAGCTCCATATTTAATCATCTTTTACATCTTAACTACTTGGCTAGTTGGTCTTCCTCTCTTTCTGGTGTCAAGATTTAGTTTTAATCTACAGCTTACAGAATAAGATTCCTTTATCTCAAAACGGTAAGTGATTACGCATGTTTTAATAGAAAAAAGACGTAAATATTACAGTAAATAATATAATAATACATTCAACTAACCTCTTCCTCAAGCAATTTCCTCAACTCAGCCTGGCAGTCTCTCAATCGATCTGCATCAGCACTGTCAACCACCCAGATAAGTCCATCAGTGCATTCAAAGTAATTACGCCAATAAGATCGCAATGAACTCTGTCCTCCAACATCCCAAATGTTTAACTTGTAGCTGAAAGAGAGGAGTATCCACGTCTGATAAATACTGTACAAAATGTAATTAATTTTCTTAGCTCTAAAAAATTTGAAAATCAACTTAATGATTTTATAATTTAATGAACTATAAGTCATATACTGTATATCTTACTAGCAAGGAAACATGGTACTATACTGTGTACAGTACTGTACTGTATTACTTTAGTCTCAAGTTAGGTTGATCTTTACAGAGATAGAAAAACCCTCTAGCTTGGAAGATATATTTACTGTATTTCTGGAACACTTTTCATTACCAGGCTGAAGAAAGTTGAGCACTACATGAAGTAACACAGTTTGCTATGAAGCCAGTCACAGATTATTGCACTGAACTACAATACAGTCTTACTCAACTTTCACAATAACTTATGTAGAAAGTTTACAACTTTCATGTTTCACAAAGCACAAAGAAAAGCAAATACATCATTAACTGAACTGAAAAGTTCATTTACTTACCCGTACTTATCAACAACATGTTCCACAGTCTTAATGTTGAAGCCATATGTTGGAGATATTGTACTGATGTCTTCTCCACAGAAACGCTTCACTACTGTTGTCTTCCCTGCATTATCCAAGCCACTGTGTATCCCAGTTAAGGAAAAGCACAGTGCATTTTATATGACACTACAGTACAGTTCTTTTAAACATGATCTGATACAATGGAGTCATGATAATTTGCAGGTTAGGTCCCAGAAGATTTCATAAATTATCAAATTGCAAATTATAGTTATATTGATTTAAATGCAAATGTATTAGATTGGTTCCAGAGGCCAAGAAATACCTATAAACTGTTCCAAAACTGCTTTAATAAATACTAATCATCATATATAATACAGTAACACTTAGACATTGTACAAAAATTAGTTCTCACTTTTAATTTTATCCTCTTCACCACTGATCGGCTCGTTAGCTGCTTGGGAGGTAGGTCACGTCTCTGTAACGCACTGTTGGCAAGTACTGGGCATGCACCGGCTCCTGAATGTACCTGAACCCGCTCCAGTGTTGGTCAAGGCTGGTCTTGAAAGAGCTCACACTCGGTGCCGTCACAACACTCTGGCAGATTGTTCCAAGAGTTTACAACTCTCACTCCGAAAAAGTTTGCTCTCATAGTTTTCTGGACTTCTGGCTTCTTCAACCTTGAGCGGTGACCCAATGTGGGGAGGACGTCCGCCAGCTCCAGGTATGGACACTAGATTGAGTAGTGCTCCCCGAGATATTCATACACTTAAATTAAGTCGCCCCTTGCCCGTCTGTAGTACAGGTATAAGCTAGGTAGATACAGGCTTTCTAATCTCTCTGAGTAACTGAGGTTCCATAGAGCAGGCACCAGTCTGGTGGCCCTCCTTTGAACATTTTCAACCAACTGACAGTCCCTAGCATACCTCGGGGACCAGCCGGGGTGACAGTACTCCAGATGGGGAACCACCTCACTCTTGAAGATACTGATGGACCATCTAGATATCTGAACGACCTTCTTATAAGACCTACTAGTTTCGTTGCATGATTCACAATCTTCTCACAATGGCCCGAGAACTTAAGTACATTGTCCTTTTCACATTGTCTCAATTAATGCAGTCTCTTTATCCTGTGATACGCCTCCTTACCGTTGGTACGCCCCAGGTGCATCCTCTTACACTTTGTGACATTAAATCTTAGCAGCCAAACCTTCGACCATTCTTTTTGCTCACAGAGATCTTTCTGCAGCTCTTCACAGTCTGAGTGGCTCTTAATTTCCCTAAATAACTTGGCATCGTCCGCAAACATTTGTATGGATGAGTGCATAGCTTCTGGCATATCATTAATGAAACAGACAAACAGCAATGTGTCCAATACACTGCCCTGTGGTACCCCGCTTGTGACGGGTACACGTGATGATTTCGAACCATTAATCACCACACACAGCTTGCGGTCATGGAGAAAGTTTTCGATCTACACTAGGACACTTCCCTGAATCCCGTACCCTTCCAGTTTAATATTCAGCCTTTCATGGGGTATGCTGTCGAAAGCCTTGGCAAAATCTTGGTATATATTGTCGATATTTCCACTTTTTCTAGAATTTGAGTCCATTACCTTGAGTAATTGTGTTAAGCAGGAGCGCCTCGGCATAAAACTATGTTGACAATCCTTTACAAGGTTGTTTCGTAGTAGATATTCCATCATGGCATACTATGCTGGTCAAGCTTACCGGTCTATAATTATTCGTGGAGTAACAATCGCCCTTCTTGAAGATAGGACTCACATAAGCCACTTTCCATTCACTGGGAACCTTTTGTTCATCCAGGCATTTACAAAATAGGATCTTCAGGGGCTCGGCAAGCTCGTTGCACAACTCTCTTAGCACTCTGGGATGCACCATGTCAGGGCCGGGACCCTTATGGACCTTTAGCTTTGACAATTTATTTCTCATGAGCTCTTCTGTGAACACAATGTGAGTCAGCACTGTGTTGAACAGTCTGTCCTCAAATGCAAAAAGATTGTTCACATCCTCTCTTGTGAACACCGAGGAAAAGAAACCGTTCAACGCCTCAGCTTTCTCCTGGTCAGAATCTGCGTAACTACAGTACCATCTTCAAGCCTCAGGTTTGATACTCCTAGTCGCATTTTTAATTTCGATTTTGTGTAGCGGTAAAAATTCTTTGGGTTTTATTTGACCTCACTTTCGGACATGGTGTGCCCCAAAGATTTTAACTACTGAGAAAATTAGGTTAGTTTAAGGCCTACCGGGGGTCTGGGGGTGGAGCCCCAGGCTAGGGGTTGGGTTGGGTTGGGTTAGGTAAGATGACTCGTTCTCTCCCCCACCCAAAAACCCTGATTTCCCTCGCTCTCCTCCATTATTGTTGGGGGGAGGGGGGGGGGCTAAAACTACCAATTTCCGCCAAAAATGAAGGTGAGATTTGTTTAAAACACACCAAAATACACTGGAAAAACATATTGGCCAACCCCTAGGGATTCATGTCCTAAAGTAAAAATGTACCTAATTATAAGTACACAAGTAAACCTGAACATTAACAATATTACAGGTGTGGTCATACAAGCCAAATATGGAGATTGACGTTGTCACTAATAACACCTACTTCAAGATAGTTAATTTGGGAGTTTCATCTACCTTCACTAATAGGTCACTCTGGTATTAGTGGGCCCATCTGAACAGTAACCGAAATATTACGTGTGATTTGGGTTGGAATGGGGAACTTAAGGAAATATACCGTAACTTTTTTTTTATATACAACACTTCAATTCAGTAATACACACTCAACAACACATCAATAAACCTCAGCTGCAGCACAAAAGGATACAGCATAAGTAGACGAACTTCATGCTCTTTTTGTTTCAATTTTTTCAATATACTATGTAGCCCCATTTCCACCTGTGAGCCTTGGTCTGGTAGTGACTCCCTGCTGATAATCTTGGCAACTGTGAGGTAATTAAGGAGACAAGACTCTGAAGGGCAGGTGGGTGTTGTTTACCTGTAGCAGCTGTCTCATGGGCCGCCTCCTCAACACCTAAAACACATTAAAATAAACCGTGGAACTGCACAAACCAGGATAAGATGAGAGACGTTACAAGAAAAAGAAACCAGCAATAGATCTTGTTTTAAAGAGGATAAGTGAAAGTATAATAGGGTTATACTGTATATACAAATATACTGCTTGCCGTTGTTTATTTCTCTCTCTCCACTCTTTAGGTAAATTTGTCTCTGTTTATCTATGTAAGATCATTGTTGAATCATTTGCTAACATGGCTATAATGTTGAACACAAATGTCCTTAACTGTCAATTTAGTTAATTTTCGCATTTCCGGAGGAGCTGCCGCGTCCTGCCTCCTGCAATAATTGTTATATGTCAGCTAGATATTTACACTAATAATCATTACCAATTTTATTTAGTGATGTTTCACATTAATTTATTATTTTATATTATCGAATGCCATTAAGATATTAACACTTTGATGTCCCTCATACAAGAAATAGGAGTACTACACGTATTTACTTTACACAATATAACATCAACGTGAAGATATTAGTGATGTATGAAATATTTTTATCTATATTCATTGTTATTATTCTATAATTGTATACTGTTACAACTGAAATTTACGAGCTATTAACTGAAGCTGTTGGACTGGTCTGCGGCCCCGACTCAATAGTGCACCCACATGGCCGGCGTCTGCTGCGTCACCACTCACCAACAGTTATCCCTGAAGAGAGGCTTTAATATCCGTACCTCCGTCAGCATTTGATCGTCAAGTAAGAATGACCATTACCAATGACTTAAGAACTGTTAATACCAATGTATTTACCCACTGATATCTCGAAAAAGAAGATAATTGAGGCATCAGATGGTTTTGGTAGCAGGTACTACTATAGGCAATATAACCAACATGACTCTTGTTGATGTGAGGCCTGTATGTAAATGGGAACAGCATAGAGGTACTGCAATGAGAGTTTAGTGGGACAGGTGGTTTATTAAATCATTATTAGGGTAGCTATAGGTCAAGTACAAGATGGTGGGGTAAGAGGGCGGCTCGGCTGCTTCAGTAACCTTCAGTTCCCTTCAGTTTACGACTCTCGCCATTAGGAAGGACTTGTGTGTGTTGTAGAAAACGTATATAACCAGGAAGGTCAAACACAGGAAATTTTGGCTATACTAAAGATCACAATCATAAAACGATTAATATTATTAGTGGAGGAGAACCATAAGACAAGTTAACTGGGTCTGGTCAAGTCTGAAACCCAAGACCAATTCTCGAACCTTTGAACCCAGTACTTAAGTCTTGTAGTATGTATTAACTATGAAAGCTTATTTTTCTTATGTTTTATTGACTATTATTACATTTTATTATCGGTGTTTCTACTTTACAGAAAAAATTAAGCTGTAATTAGGATAAATTAGTGTTTAAATATCCCCCTTTGACCAAGAGGAATTAAAATGCGAATATCTTCTAAATCCAGATTAAAAAAAAATATATTTTAACATTATTTACTGTAAGTGACAATTAACGTAAAATTAATAAGCTTGAGAAAAATTAGGTTTCAGTAATAGGAAATATGACTTAACTCAGCCAGGGGTTTGGGGTTCGGTAGAGACTTTATAGTGCTTGGGTTATGGTGGATGTGTGGTGATGCTGGTGTAATATCTACCACACTACCACACCAATACTGTTTATACATAGTGGGGTTATTTGTTTTTAGTTTACAGTTGAACATAAATGAAGACAAAATGAGTATGTCACAAGAAGAACTCACACGGCTGAGAGTTGTGGACCTGAAGGCCAAGCTGGCAACGTTTAACCTCCCGTCACACGGTATGTTAGGCCTGAGTTATTGGAGAGATACAAGTCATACAAGTTCATACAATATAGTAGGATGAACTTAATTCTTAGTAAATCATCGTACAAAGTGCTAAACAAAGTCTATAGTTGGTAATATTGCAGTAAACCGCAACCACATTTTATTATCAGATTCTTTGGTTGCTGTAATCTGCAGTTTTACTCAATAGTTTTAGGAATTTTATAGATCAGGTAAGGTTTCATTTTTTTTTAACCCCACATTTTTCCTCTACTGTATTTAAAAGCCCTGTCCATTTAGAACGACTAATATGGTTGTTAATTGGGGGGGGGGGGGTCATATTGGTTAAAATACTCAAAAATATAAATTTCCGATGGAAATGCTGTAGAAGGAATGGTAATATTGCAGTTTATAGCAACCACAGAATTCCTGAAATTCACCACACTCAATCAATAGAACTGTTTTATCTATAATCATTTTCTTATATTACACTTCTGTCACAAATTGATAATAAGGAAGTTATTGAATAAAAAAAAAATCAGAGAACCTGTTGCTCAAATGTGTGTGTTTGTTTGTTCGTTTACCTCCCGCGCATCTGCTGGGGGGCGGCGCCAATCAAATCAAGGGGGGGGGGGGCAGTCAATCACATCCAATAAAAAATCTCAAACATTTGATTCAACCAATTGGCGTTCAATATTCGACGTGGGTGGTAGGATGCTGGACATTTTTAATCAGTACAACTTGGACCCATTATGTACTGGGTGTGATTTCGATTATTGGAAGTTTATTGTATTATTTCATTCTAAAAATACGGAAACTAGAGAACAGAGGAACCCACGACGCATTCTGGTCCCTGACTCGACAATGTTTGGTGGATTTGGCATCCTGTGTACCGCCGGCAAGGCCTTGGGCTCGTAACACACGTCTTGCCCGTAGTGCCCACCGTTTCTCTGTGGATGTCGGTCGCACTAGAATAACCCGTAATAGTACATCCTTCTTTCCTCACACAGCCAAACTGTGGAATGCTCTGCCTTCTTGTGTGTTTCCACACTCATACAATGTCCCACTTTAAAAAGCTTGTTTTCCAGCATCTTTGTGGTGTAGATTAATATAACCTTTTCCTTTTATTTTTATTTCGTTTTATTCTTGTTTTTTCGCCTCCCAGGCCCCGTTGTGGGTCAATGACCTGTGCCCGGGTGGGCTATTACCTGTAAAAAGAAAGATTAAAAAAGTAAGAACCACTGTAACGGCTATTTATATTCTCATGGAGGCTGACCAAGCGACTCTGGGGTTATTACATAGCATTTGGGGGTCCTGGGGCAGGACTAGGGTCAGTGGGGGTCTGGCTAGGGGGTTAGGTAAGGTTTAGTTTGGTTATATGGTATAAGTTAGCAAGCACAGAGTACAGTAATTCCGTGTTTTTCACGAGAATAACGTTCCTGAAACCCCCGTGAATAGCCAAAACTGTGAATACTGTACGCTTTTAAGAATCATTGTACCTGTGGCCACCAAACAGCTCAGGTAGGTTATGCACTTAACCATGCCATGCTCTCCACTCACAGCCCAGTGGTCACACTGATCACTGATGCGCTGTATTGGCATTTACTAACATCATTATTTGAAACTAATCGTATTGTAGTATAATAATGGAAAAACGTAAACACAGTTATGTACAAAAAAAATTATTTACAAGTAAATACAAATTTTTATATTTTGCTGAGGTCGGCAACACCCACATTGCCAGCCTCTCCCTGCTGCCCCTGCTGCATCGCTCATAACACCTCTGAGCTTGTCAAATAAAACTGTTTTTTCCGTTAAAGTCATCACTATTCTTGATCTCTTGGTCACTTTAGGGTCTTTGCTTGTAATATTTGCCTTTGATGAGGCTGGCTTATGTCCCAGAGCCATGTGGGAGGACAAACAGAAGAGGTAATCACAACAGCGTTCACAGTACGGTAGGCACGTGTGGACTGAGGCTTCTCGGAGCAGCGGGTGTCTGAGGTGGGAAAGGGTGGCGTCTGTTTGCCGCACCGCACGGGAATATCGAAAATGGCGTGAAATTAAAATCTTTGTTTTTAAAGGATATTTTATATACAGTATACTGTTTCATGTAAATCCACAATGAAAACGTGGATAAGATAAATCTTGATAAAATCACACGGGAAAATGGAAACAACGGAGCACCTTAGCTTTCGTCTTTATTCAAGACATCTTCAGAGGCAACTGGATTACATGGACAGAGAGAGGCTTAAATATACAGGGTGACCTTAAAAACATGAGGTCAGGTCATAATGATGTCATCCACTAATCCCCACACCAACACACACGTAGAGGAGCTTAAGAGAAGGGGGGGTGACGTGACTAGTCAGGTCAGGTCAAAAATAAGGGACCCACAAAATAACTATCATACATCTAGATCAAAGGTTTTCAAAGCATTTTTAACCTTGGGCCACTGACAAATAAATTTATGTAACATATCAGTTTTGAACTGACCATCACTAAGGTTTATTGATTTTAATTCCTTAATCAAACTAGCTTCAACCAGAAGTCTTTCTGTGACACAAGATGATTTAAATACTTCTAAGCTTTTTTCCCAAGCAATGGGGTGATTATTATTCCTAACATGAACGAACAAGGCACTGCTTTCAGATGCTGTTCTGATATTATACTTATGTTGTTTGATTCTGAGCTGCAGTGTTTTTCCTGTCTGTCCTACATAATTACAATTACATTTGCTACATGGAATACAATAAACACTTCCATTTACATTCAAACTTGGGCTATTCCTTATTAACATATTGGTAATGGTTGAGTCATACATGAAAACAACATTAATATTTAGAAGCTTGAGGGACCGAACTAACGGGACAAATTCATCACGATAGGGCAGAGTCAAAATATTCTTAAGTGTAGGAACTTGCCTGGTTTGAGAGGAATGAAAGGATTTTTTAGCCCTTTTAAAACAACGATCAACAAACACAGAAGGGTACCTGAGTTTCTGTGCAATGGAACGAATGTGTTTCAATTCATCGTCAATAAATTCAGAGTCACAAATACGCAGACATCTTAAGAACATACTTAAGTATACTGTATATAATTTTTGAGTAAAAAAAAATGCGAATGGTCAAAATCGTGATAAAAAACCCGCGAGAAACACAGGATTACTGTACCAGGAATTCAGAACATGCAATCGATAGAACTATTATGGGGGTAAAAATCAAAACGAGTGATTTCTGATAAATTCGATTGTCAGATTTGAACCAATTGCATAAAAAACCATCAGAAAAACAATTTTTTTTTAATCAGATTCTTTGGTTGCTGCATTCTGCAATTTTACCGAATGAATTATTTTTATTTTTTTTCCTATATAAGACCCAATATATAAGAAGGTGTTGGCACCTACTAAATATTAACCAGTAATTATAATTAAAGGTAGCCCAGTGAAACAGTTATAAGTTCATTTCTTTTGACAGTTCATGGCATAATACTATTCTATGTGGTATTTTTTACTGCAGAAGTTTAATATTTACCTCCACAAAACCACAAATCAAGTGTAGGGATAGATTTTTTTTTTTTTTTTTTGTGTGGTTGGTTCATGCAGGGTCTGGAATCTGGACAAAATCTCCTCAGTTAAAGTGCCCCCATTTTTTATAGTCTCAAGCTTTTTCTGATGGAGCACTGTATTTCCTGCAGTGCACCTGAGAAGGATTCCTCCCCTGGAATGTCCAGCAGGCAACCATTGATGGGGTGATTCGCACCCACAACCTGTGTGAGAGTTGGAGTTTTGCTTTCTCTGACCTTGCTGGACATGACCCCCAACCGTCTGGAAGGTCATTGAAAGTATTAGAATGGTTCAGGCTCTTGTATCAACAGCCCTGCTTAAGGATTCTCATGGTGAGGCTCCAAGATAACGAGTCAGATGTGGCACAAAGGAGCATTAACAGTGTGTGAAGAACCTTTGTCTGGACTATGTAAATGAGAGGAAGACCTTGGAGAAATTCACAGCATCGGGTGGAAATAAATTGAACTTTAAATGAGCCTTAACACTTTATAATAGTAAAGTAAAGTCAGATTCTGTATATGCTGTGCAGATGATACGCACTGCTCTCATCACAGATAGTGAAGAGTCATTACAAAAACTAGTTAAAGATTAGTGGAAAAAGATGAATAATGTGGGTTATGAGTTAATGCTGTGCAGATGAAAGTTATGGTAGGGAACAGGTAACTTAAACAAGTGGATATTTTTGTTTATTTGGAAAGTAACATTAACTTAAATTTGAGAAAAAAGATGCTGAAAGGCTTTACATGGCAAGGACTGATGTATGGGTCAGAAGTGTGGACACTTTCAGCTGACACCAGAAAGAGGTTGGAGGCCTTTGAAATAAATGAAGAAGTACTAAGATTAGCAAAAACTTAGAGAGAAATACTTGAAATGTACAGAAAAAGAAAAATGAGATAATTTGGTCATATAACTAATTAGGGATGAAGGAATAATAACAGAAATATTAATGGGCAAAGTTGAGGGTAGGAGGACCAGGGGAAGGCAGAGACCGGGATGGGTGGATGAAATTAAAAACTGGGTCCCCAGAGAGATACAAAATCTTGGAGGATTGGTCAAAACAGCCCGAGAACGATAGAGTTGAGGACTGTGGTCGCCAACCCTCAGATATGATGACGGTACTCTGATTGATTGGCTCTATGATGTTTATAAAGCTGACTTTGCCTAGATAAGGCATGAGCCCTTTATATTGTAATGTAATTTTTCTGGTTTGTTTAAATATTTGTTCTTGTATAATACATAGTTCTAAATTCATAATGCTATGTGCTACTGTATAATACATATAATGCCTTTCTTGTTGCACACTTATGATATAAAAAATAATAAAGTATGAAATTAATGATTCAAAAATTCATATTGATATTTCTCCTTGGAGGCTTTTGTCCGGGGTGGCTTGTGTCCTACTCTCAATTCATGCAGTTTGTATACAGTACTCTTAAATGTGGTGACTTTCAGAGAACAACATGGAGCATAATTTAGGAACTCAAATAATATTTCCTGTAAGTTTTGGTAAGAGTGGAGGAGTCAGTTGGCAGCAGAAATAACTTATATAATGAGTTCATATTTTCCACAGTTGTTGTTTTGATGATATAGTAGGTAATAAAAATATAACATCATCTTTTCCCTTTAATTTATTTATTTTTCTATCTTCAGTCATAAATTACCAGTAGTGGGCAGAGGATGAAAGATGAGGGAAATTATGGGTTAAAACTATAGAAACTGATCATAAGGCAGTACAGTAATTTCATATGCGATGTAGACTAAGAAATAATTTTTTTTACCCTAAATAATCCACCACCAAATCTCCCATGGTGCAGATTGTTCTCATCTGCTCTTAAACTATAAATTTGTGAGTCCGGTCTTTGGAAACATAAAAATAGCAACGGAGCTTCTCATCAGGGGCTTTATTACCATAAATATTGACTTGGTTGTCTTTTGTTTTATATTTATTAGGCTTCACTTTCCTGTTTTTTTTTATTACCTGTGCCAATCCTTTTTTTTTTATTTTTTTGCACATGGTTTTTGAACCTGTTCTATGTATAAAGGATGAGATTCGTATACAAGTACTGTAGTTGTATTCAAATCCCATAATATGGGTTTGGATACATTTTCAATTTCTATTGTGTACAGTATCATTGGATTTTGAGTGAACTGTATGTGCCTATACTTATTGTTCCTCCTCAAGGAGAAGCTACGGTAGCCATCTTGTTTTTCAACTGCGTAGTTATGGCATCTAGTTCGGAGGATGATGATCGTCTGCAATCATCTGTCAACATGGATGAGTTGGGAGGATGATGACCGTCTGCAATCATCTGTCAACATGGATGAGTTGGGAGGATGTGCAAGTGTTTAAAAGCAGCAATGAACTGACATTGAACAAGAGTTTCAGTGCTACGTCCACAAAAGACATAAAATTACACAGTGGCACTTCTCGAAAAGTGCTTACATTGGTACCCGATATCAGAGTCCCGGTAAGTTATTTCTGCTTGATATGCCGAGTGTACGCAATTGAGATGTAAGGTAAGGTTTGGTTGAGTTAGTTTAGTTTCTGTTCATTTTCATTTCCATTTTTATCCTTAGTATCATGCAAATAACATCTCCAGAAATTTTGGTGCAATTCAATAAGTCATTTTACTGAAAACCATTATCAAAGTTACTTTATTTTAAATCTTGTATTGCAGGTCTAAAGAGTGAGCTGGTGGATCGTCTGTACCAACACCTACTGTCTGTTGAGGGAGGTGGTGTGTGCAAGATGAATGAAGACGTTGATGGTAAGAAGATATACTCTATATTATTTTGTGTTTATGGGATTTTCCAGTATGTAGCCAACTCTGATCTAGCTACAGACTGCACTGCTTTTACTTCTCTTCCACTCTTGTGTGAAGTTGATCTAGGGGGTACAGAAACCCAATGGAGGGGGGGGGTAAGTAAGATAGTGGTGCATAATGTGTAAGAGAGGAAAATTTTACTTGAAGCTGTATCCAATTTCTGATCTTGTTTGTACTATCCAAATACAGTAAATACCCTTTTCTGGTAACTTTATTTTTTCTTGTAACAAATCATTTTCAAGTTAATTCATGTAAGTGTGTATGTATGTTTAGGGTGTTTAACAGTTAAAGTATGGAAAAAATGAGCATATTACATTATCCATATTCCTCTCAAGAGTCGGGTGAGGATATATAGGTGTATTAGAAAGGGTAAATAAGTACGGAGTTGGTGGTGAACCATAACCCAGTGGAGATGGAAGAACTGGTTAGGGTGTTTATTATGGGGGAGTAACTTGCTCAGGAGGTATCTTGCCACAATCATATACTGGTAGTTTAACTTTGGCTGTGAAGTATGATTTATCTGTAAGTCACCTGTTGAGACTACACTGAGTTAGGAGTCATGTGAATTTTGTATTTAGGAGTAAAAATAGTTTATATAGGATATACATTAAGGTTTAGAATGAAGTATGTACTGTACTATGCAATACAGGGGGTCTTCATTATATGTCAGGATGTGATCCAGAGAAAAACAACTTGTAAAGAAGTGTTTTATTGTGAAGAATCGAGGCGCTCACATTGATAGTGATGAATCAACCAATGATGCCCAAGTCAAGTTCTTGTTGCAACAGGAAGGCTGCTTCTTTCTCTACCCAATACAGGGTTTATTCATCATCCTTTGTCCCATATAATGAATGTAATTAGGGGTACAGTGTGTACATTCCAACATGTACAGGAATGCCCCTTGCAATTTCAGCAAATCAGCTTACAATGGGATCATTATTTTTATATACTGAATGTTGACAAATTTTAGCATACCAATAAGTTAGATATACGTACAATACAGTATTTTCTCAATTTAATGAACTAATTCGAGCCACTCCTGTTCGTTAAATCAAAATTTCCACTAAATTGACCTTTCCGTTATGTTCACTCGATTTACCGAACTTTTTCACTAAATAAAGCGTGATTCCATTAAATTTCACGCCAATCACGTCGCTTGGCACATGGGGTTTGTTTACTTCCTCTCAGTCTGTGTCCTGCCACCACCGCATGTGTTGTTCACCGCTACCTCTTGAGAGTTATCAATTGTTGTTTTTAGGAATATTATTTCATTCACTCCAGTAATGATGGTGTGTCTTATTATGTCATCATAGGTAAATGTAAGGTTTATATAATTTGTTTATCACTGGGCCCATCACCATTTTCAAATTAGACTACAAGATATGTATTTCTTCCTTGTGTATTTCGATCGTATGCCTGGCAACGGGTACAAGTTGAGCGTCATCGGCTCATGTAACTCTCCTCACTCTGCCATATTTCACTGTTATCATTAGTATTTACTGATATAATAATGCTTAATATTGATTAATCATGTCATTGTAGCTTGGTTAGCTCATCATTGTAACCACCAGGCTACTGGGCCAAGCTGTGAGGTGTTATGGTTTTTCAACTCATATTTTTGGGTAGATATACGTAACTTTCTTCATTTTATTTTTACTCAGTTACATGCACACACCATCCTACATACATATTGTGTAAAAAGTAAAAGAAATAATTATCCTAAGAGCAAACACAAAGGGAATACTGTACACCCTGTACAGTACATTTCTTTACACATGAGTTAACTGGCACAGTGATGGAGGCGAGGGTGCAGAATATAGGGGGGGGAGAGCGTTGCTGGGGAATCAGTGTCCTAGCTGGTCTTCGTTGCTATGGTGAAACAGGGAGTGTATGCAAATAGCGACTGTGTTAAAGTTTCATTTGGCAATACAGTATTCTTCACATTTCCTGGTACTGTATATATACTATTTTAAGAAAACTATGAATTGAATTTTGAATTGAATTGAAACAGTTTATTTACCCAGAAAAACACAGATACAGAGTGGATAATAATAACAATATTAGCATGGCTGAGCCATGCTGAAATGGGGGGTGCATCTTATATGGTGTTTTTATTATCATTAACCTTTTTATACATTTAGTAAATGTCGAAGGCTGATGTAGCATTCAAATTTTTGCCTTATTATTGAAAAATTAAATAATAACCATGGCCCCTAGGAAAGTGTTTGGTATCCATAAGGGTGGTGAGAAGGTTAAGCCTAAGACCTTATCAGTGAATAAAAGTAAGTGTACAGTACTTTGTGTACATTACTTTTTTTTTTATTAATTTTGATTAAAAAACATTTATTTATTTCATAAAAATTGGATACATTGGTGTTGTACTCGTTTTTTGTTTAAAATGGCGGTCCTTTTGGAAAATTTGTTCTCAGGTGGACACCCTCTTATCCTGTACACCCCTTCCCCCCAAATTAGTCCACCTTAGTGAGGTTTTACTGTATCATGTCTGAGGTATCTGTAGGTGTGAGCGTATTAATGGAATTACTGTAATCTTGATTTTGTGAACTAGTTCACTGAATCGAACAAAAAATAAAGGAAAAAATGGTTTCCACTAAATCGATATCTAGTTCGTTATATTAGAGTTCGTTAAATCGAGAGTATACTGTACTGTACAACTGTTGGAAAAATAAACTGAAATTTGTTTGTTAGATAAACCTGTCAGCCTTGGTGGAGCTGAAGTGAAACCACCAGGAGAACAGAAAGATGGAGGGGTGGCTGGGGGAGGAGTGGCAGACCAGCCCCCACTCTCTCAGCAGGATGAGCAGATGCAGCAGGAAGACATGGTCATGGAGGAGGATGAAGAACCAACTGAGGACCAGGGCCAGAATGAACTCCTCAGGAAGGCAAGAGAACAGGAAGAGGTGAATAGCAAGATTTTTATTTGTATAGTAATGAAGTGCAATTACAGTTATATTTATGTATTTTTGTTATAATATAATAATGATTATTTTAGGAAGGGAGAGTTTCTACTGTACTGTTGTTTATATGGAAGATTCATGATGTTCTGAAGTTGAAAATCACAAATATTGAACTAAGAAATCAACTGTATCAAAGCAAAGGGTAACTTTTTGATGGTTTCTAAATCTTCTGATTTTTTGTAAGACCAAGAACCCTTTAACATTGGCCCATCACTAGGGTCCATTTTCTGTGTCATTGTTGCCAGAGAAAACATGAAGTTGATTAACGTAAATTGGAAATAGTATAATTATATATGAAATTACTATTTTATAGATTTTGTTTGGTTTTTTGCCAAACTCCAGTTTTACCAGAATCAAGGAAAGTTGGTTGATCCATAATTTGTTTACTCCAGCCAAATGCCATGAAGCATGTTTTTAGGCCAGAAATGTGGCTGAGAATACTTTGAAACTGATATACTGTATAGTTTGTACATTTATTTTTGTCTACATTTTAGTTAAGAATTAGGTTTGGTCCTGGGAGTGACTTTCTTGTGATAGAGAAAAGCACATTTTATGGAGGAGTAAAGTACAATACAGTGCTTAAATTATTGGGAGTATCAAAAAGTGGGTTGTTTTTGTCGCTTATTGTTTAATAAAATTGTATTCTCAGATGCTAAGCCATCAACGGCAGATGGACGAAGAGCGTGTGATGCAGCACAAGGTACGGGAACAACAACGTCTTCTTGAACAGCAAAAACAACAGGAAGATTTATTTCGCCTGCAGCAAGCTGCCTTTATGGAGAGACAAAGAGAAGAGCGTGAGAAAGAGGTGCAGCTCCTAAGGCTACAGCAAGAGGCTTTGAAGCAAAAGGAAGAAGAAAATATAAAAGTAAGGCAATGGCTAACAACTGCTTTCTTAAATTAACATAATCACCTTAGTTATCAGAAGTTAACTTAAAGATAAGGTGACAACCAGATTCCAAAAATATTTACTTTTTTCAGGGAGAATAACTACACTGCTCTCTTCATAAGATTGTCTCCTATTTTAAAATATTTGAAATGGTAATGGGAGGAAAATTGAATGTGGGAATGATGCATACCTTTAAGTATCTACTGTATAGGTCTTGCTGGGGTTGAGTGAGTTAAATTATGTTTGAGACATCAATCATGAAATTTGAGAAAATTTTACATATTAAGGCCATGTGTAATGAGGGACAATTGTGTTTAGTGATCATTTATTGTTTTAATAATTATTTTATCTGAGTAATATGTTAAAGATAAAAAGAAGACAATTTTGTTTATTACAGCTTCCGCCACCACCAGGGGTACCTCCTGGTGTTTCACCACCTGCACCACGTGTGCCTATTCCTTCAACAGTTGGATCTGCACCAGCTAGTGCGGGCACAGTTCCAGTCCTGGGCCCACCAGGGGTCAAAGCATCAGTGGTTGTACCTCCTTCACCATCTTTTGCACCCCGACCCCCTGGACCAATACCCGTAGGTGGACCGACAGGGTTCTCTGGTCCTGGTACTGGTCCTGTACCCAGTGCTGGGTTGTTGGGCCCAGCACCAGGATCATCACCAAAGTCTACTGCTCCTCCACAACAGCCTCCCCTCAGGCCTCCTTTGATGCAGTCATCCAGTCCTCGTACACCTGCACCCATGACTCCACAACGTCCACCACCAGTGCCCATGCCAAACTCTTCTATTAGACCCCCAGTAAGTATGGCTTTATGCTCTGCTCTGCCATCATTGATGGGGTATTAAATATTTGCTATGTCCGTTGACCATCTGGTTAAAGGATTTCACTAAATTGGGAGGCATGTGTTTCACTTAGGTTTCCCAATTATTTGTGTCTACAAATCCCAGCCATAGATTGTTGGTGAGGCATGAAGTTTATCTTGGGGTTTTGTCCATAAAAATTTGTGTTTATTAAGTAACTGTCCTACAGCATTTTGCCAGGGGCAAAATCTCTAAAATTTAATTTGTTTGTATGCGTTTTGTAACCAGTGCTCAACTCCTCTTCCTGGGGTCAGTTGTTCGATCCCCGTGCACTCCCAGCACACCCAGCTGTAAATGGGTTCTTAAATTTATAACTTGGAGAAGTGAATGCGTTTGAGTGCAGTACCGGCCATGCTGCCTCCTTGTGTACCGAAGGCTTAGTATACTGTGCTGTATCCATACTCCCTAATGGGCAGCCTTGCCTATGGGACTCATACTCTCACGATAGTGAAATGTATTATATTCATTAATGTGAAACCTATTGTCTGCTCTTATTTAGTGGTATGTTTATTAACACAACTAATACATTTATTTTTAGATTGTGAGTGTAGAAAGTAAATTACTGGACAAAGCTCGAATATACCATCATAGCAGTCACTTTTCACTTGAAGATTTGTCTGTGAGGTACATACAAATATGTTGTCATCAGTTTCTCCACTTCATATACAATTTATCTTCACTTGCATAGCCTTTTGTTATTCTTATTTTGTGATCCATTGGTATTTTCATACTTGTTAACCATGTCTTGTGACCATTTCTTATTATATTCAGAGTTTTTGTTGGGAGAATGAAGCATATGTCAAAGTATGTTGGGAAGAGGGGAATTGGTTCCCAGTGAAAATGGGTACTGGGGTTGGGATGTAATGGGAGGTGAATTAGTTGTCATTTGTAGTTAATACTACCCAAGTAGACAATTGAGAGAAGTTAAAAAAATGTAAATACATAAATTTGGAATTGAAGAGTTTCCTGTGTTGGGATAAAAGTAATTTTGAAGAAGAATAAAAAGTAAAGTCTAGTATTAGAGAGGGAGGGAGGAAGAAATAAATGTCAGCTTGACTGGTGAAGTGCAGTATTTGTTAACTGGGAGTGGTTGTGTTGATTGGAATTATTATTTAGAGGTAGAGTGAAAAGGAAGAAATACAGTAAACCCCTTGCACTTCTGGACAATTGGGGGGGGGGGGAGAGGGTGTCTGGGTGTGGCAAATGTCTGGATGAACCGGGGGATGAATGCGCGTTACTTAATCTTTTGGAGAAAATTTGGATATGTTATAAAAATTACTAAAACTCAGTAGTTATGCTGTAAAAGTTGTGGCTTAGAAATAAAGATAATATAATATAAATCTATAAAATATAATAAACTATAAACTAAGACATAAGAAGAGCATGAGTGTTTGTGTGGAGTGGCACACACACACACACACACACACACACACACACACACACACACCGCCACATTTCACAACTATTTCTGGAGCATTCATGCTATAAAAGTTGTAGAAAATCATTAAAATACTCTGTGACTTAGAAATAAATATAATATAAAACTATAAAATAAGAAAAAGTAAAGAACGTGGGTGTGTGGAAAGTGAGCCGCCTGATAACTAAGGAATCCTCTGTCCCTCTGCCTCCAACCCTCCCTCCCTCAATGTGACATCACACACACACACACACACACACACACACACACACACACACACATACACATACATACATTATTTATGTAGAACAAGCATGAGCAACCTTTCCTCAGTCATGGGCTGCATTGCGATTTAGGTATTTTTCTGGGGGCCAACCCACCAAAATTTATATCCTACCTAACCCAAAAGTAATGTTAATATTGTATTAGCACGTACAGTAAAACAGTTTATTGTCATGTCCACCTTACAATATTTTCAGTTTGCAATCGGTCTTTTTCCCATTTATGAAACAAATTCATCATAATAAATTTTTTAAGTAAAATGTCAATGTTTCTTGGCATTTAACAGAAGATGGGTGAAGCTGTCTGTGCATACATTGATTTTTCCTACAGTTACAAAATTTTTTTTACTTATGAGACACACCTACCAGAATAATGTCAATATTAATCTTGATGCATGAGGAACTACAATGACAACCTATAGGCATAGCTATTTTACAATAAAACCTCAATAAACCAGACTTTAATATGTCGGAATTCGCTTTTTTGGAACATAAGCCAGGTGTACCATAATGTTCTAATATCATACCGTTTATAGCGGTACTAACAAGTTGCTACACTGGTATGCTGTGTAAACAATTAATATTTTATTGGAGGTGCTGATTTTGGCTTGGTGTTTACCACTGTTCTTATGAAGATAACTTACTGAAGATTTTTAGCGGTTGCTTGCTGTCCTATGTAGATCCTGTTGCCCACTTCCCTTTTTGTACGAACATTTCAGTTTTTGCCCAGCCTATGTTCGGGCCTTTGGGGGGTCGACTTATACGGCGAGTATATGCCTAAACCTGAAGGGGGGAAAACCAAGGATATGGGGGGGGGGTGATGGTATGAGTAAGTAGCAGAGTATGTGTTTGATGGGAGAACATGGAGTCATGTGGTGTACAGCAGTTACTGTCAATGAAGGGAGACAGGTGGCAGGACAACTGTTTCAGCTTTTGGTTCCTGCCATATAGCAGCACAGCAGGAAATTGTATTGTAATCTTTTCCATTATATCCAAATTGTTGCTATATACATTGAAAGGACAGGTGCATATTTTTTTACATACAAAGAACTCTCAGATACATTGAAAACTTATTCATTTTAACAGTGAATTGTACTCCAGAGTTCCATGTTAACTAAGAATCTTCACAACTATTCTCTTTGATTAAAAATGAGATATTAAATTTGTCCTCATCACAACTTTTAACATACCGGTATGTCAACCTACAGGTTATGTGTAGAATGTTGCTGTTATTTTTGGATTGAGTGTTAAAATTTTCATTAAGGATTGGTCAAAAACTTTCTCCTTGTAAGGTTGGCTCCCTCTACTTTTTCTCTGCCATGGTGTTGCATTTCTTCTCTAATCACCTACTCTGGTTGATGTTCCCGAGAACTTTCATTCTGTAAACTACAACTTTATCACCAGCCCAGAGCAAGTACAGGAGTCATTTTTTTTTCCAGTGAAAGGAATAAGTTGGTATGTGCAGCAGATATAGATTCATTATCAAAAGTTTTCACCATTATATCATGCAGTGCAGTATTATGTAATAAGCCTTACGTATTATATTTCATTTTCCCAGATTGATTATATTTCCAAAAATACACTTGCTATCAATTTCTTCAACATTTCACCAAAACAATTTATTCTTTCCTTGATTTCATTCTCAACAGTTGATAACACTTTATCATCCACTTGTAGCAACTGCAGAAGCCTTCTCTGTATGCCACATTGATTTAGTTATCCATAAATTGAGATTTCATGTGATTTTTCTGAGACTTTTTACATTTGTTAGTACATGGTAATGGAGACTGATACTGGTAATCCTATGTGACATATTAAATATTATTGTGGTGGTGATGTATTTCAGGGTGCAGGACTTTTGGGTGCAGCTCCCACACCAATGGCTCCTCCAGGAGAGAGCCCAGACAAAGGAGAAAAACCTCCACCTCTGATGTCACTGCAGGTGTCAGCCCCCAAGGAAGAAGCACCTAGAGAAGTTAAACTTCCTCAGGCTCTTGAACAAGCTCTTGCCTTCAAGACAGAGAGAGCCAAACAGGTGTGATTTTCAATATATATTTACCTAATTCAATACAACTGGTTTATAGCACTAAAGTTTTCTTATTTCATCTTCTCAAATTTACTTAATGGCTTTGAAATGATAGATCAGTTGTCCTTTGTTCATAGAAGATCCTTAACTTGTTCTTTGGTAAAGAAAGAAGTCTCCCAGAAACAGTCATGCTACCACATCCTAAGTGTAATATGTGCATTTACAATATTTATGAACTTTCTTTTTTATGAACTTACTGTTTTCATGTATTTATTTCCTTGAAAAATTTTGAGTCTTTTCTCACATTATATTTCTTACTGGATGTTTGTGTTACTTCCTTTGCTTGATTGCTAGACCTGCAAAAAATTCCAACAAATATGTGAAGCCTTTTTGTTGAGAATTTGGCATTCAAAGTCCTGGAGATGGTTGGTAATGTAATATATTTGAGGAGTACTGTACTACATGTATTACCCTAAGGTAGAGAATATTTAATGATATGTCTTATTTGTCAACAGGTTGGTGTGAACCCAGAAGATATGGAGAAAGTAGAGAGAGAGGGTCTAGCCAGAATGGATGAACAAGAGAGTCAACCTCCTCCACCTCGAGCCCCAGTTTCTATTGCAAAATCCCAAGCACCATTTATGCCTCCAGCCTATGAGGAAGACGATGAGGAAATTTCAGAGGAGCCTAATCAGAAAAACAAACAGGAGAAGAAGAAAAAGAAAAAGAAGAAGAGGAAAAGTCGCCACCGTTTCCAGGACGAAATAGACCGACAGAGAAATGAACTGTTGAAACGAGAAAAAAGTGATGCAGATGACCCTAACATAGAAATTGAGTATATCCAAGATTCAATTGAATTAGATATTGGAGATCCAAACTACCGCCACTTTTCAAAGATTTTTGAGGCATTCCGAATTGCTGAACCTGAACCAAAGATTGAGGAGGAGAAGATAATTCCAAAGACAGAGATGCCATTGGTTGACATTAATAAAAAGATTGGACCTAAAGTACCAGGCATACCACTAGACGATGATGATGATGACGACGACGACGATGATCTGAAGAAGGATGACGATGATAAACCAAAACTTTCTAAGCGGAAAATGAAACTCTTGAAGCGCATGAGCATAGCCGAGTTGAAGCAGACTGTTAGTCGTCCAGATGTTGTTGAAATGCATGATGTAACAGCTAAAGATCCAAAATTGTTAGTACATCTTAAAGCCACAAGAAACACTGTACCTGTGCCTCGCCATTGGTGCTTCAAGCGAAAGTATTTACAAGGCAAGCGTGGTATTGAAAAGCCACCCTTTGAACTACCCGACTTCATCAAGCGCACAGGCATTATGGAAATGCGGGCAGCACTACAGGAAAAGGAGGACCAAAAAACTCTGAAGGCAAAGATGAGGGACAAAGTAAGACCTAAAATGGGTAAGATTGATATTGATTATCAGAAGCTTCATGATGCCTTCTTTAAGTGGCAGACTAAGCCTAAGATGACGATACATGGGGACTTGTATTATGAGGGCAAGGAGTTTGAGACAAAAATGAAAGACAAAAAGCCTGGGGAAATGAGTGATGATTTAAGGATTGCCCTTGGTATGCCAGTTGGTGCCAATGCTCATAAGGTTCCTCCCCCTTGGCTGATTGCTATGCAACGTTATGGTCCTCCTCCATCCTACCCAAATTTGAAAATCCCAGGACTTAATGCTCCTATACCAGAAGGCTGCAGTTTTGGTTACCATGCAGGTGGCTGGGGTAAGCCTCCTGTTGACAATATGGGTAAGCCTATTTATGGTGATGTGTTTGGCACTCAGGGCAAAGACTTTGATACACCTTTAACAGAAGAGGAAGTAGAAAGGACATTGTGGGGTGAATTAGAGAGTGAAAGTGAAGAGGAATCAGAAGAGGAGAGTGAGGAAGAATCAGATGAAGATGTTAGTGGTCTTGTAACTCCAGGTGAAACTGGTCTTGTTACTCCCTCAGGCATCAGCTCCCTTCCTGCTGGTCTTGAGACTCCTGATATGATTGAATTGAGAAAGAAACGCATGGAGACAGAAATGGAAGGAGGTGACACTCCCGCTTTATATACAATTCTTCCTGAGAAACGAACAGAGACGATGGGCCGAGCAATGATGGGCTCCACGCACACTTATGACATCGGTGCAGCTACAGTCAGTGGAACCACCAGCAGATCAGCCACACAGGGAGTAGAAGTGGCCCTCGATCCCTCAGAACTTGACCTCGTAGACACAGATGCTATGGCAGCACGTTATGAAGCCACATTGAGAGAACAGCAAAAAGGAGAGGAAGAAGACTTCTCTGATATGGTTGCTGAACACGCAGCAAAACAACGCAACAAAAGACGGAAACAACAACAAGAGCAGAATAAACCAGCCAAAAAATATAAGGATTTCAAGTTCTGAGGTAATTTATATAAAATTACTTGGTTGATTTATTAAATACTTTTAGGGGGACGAGTTCATTTGTAGTGGGAAATTTACTGAAGATGTTAATAAATATGAATCAAGTTAAATGTCAAAACAAATCTCAGTACACAATATTTTCATTATGTATCACAAAATTCTCAATGACTTAGGTGAGTAATGTTAGGTTTAAGTGATTAAATTTTAAACACAGTCTTGAGTGTTATTAACCTGTAAAACTATAAATCAAGTTTGTTGCTGGTAACTAGTATGACTGATGGGTGACAGGATTTTTATTGTTCATTTTGTACTTCCATTATGATGATGCATCATTTACTATTAGAATGAAAAACTGAAAGAAAGGTCTTTGTTCTGTCCAACAGTAATAATTGGCATGCAAGACCAAAACCATTTATTTATAATATTTTTTTTTTACTTTAGTGTGTGTACAATGAAAGATAAAAGTCGTGTTGTGAAAACATATGCCGAAGGGCTAAACCTTTGGTGTGCTCTGCCTTGTGGTAGGGGGCTCTCAAAGTTTCACGGGTTATATTTAATTTTCGGACAAAACTGCGACACGACTTTTGTCTTTCATTGTACAACAATGACAACTGAATGACTCAAACACATCTTCCCTTAATAAATTTTAAAAGTACTTCTAGCAAATTTTTCATGAGAAATGAACATATTCTACTACAGTAAAGTAAAAACTCAAGTTTGCCCACAGCAAAAAAAAAAAAATACATTAAATATAAACAAAACTACTGCCGAGTTTAATATTTTTTTATTAAAAGGTGTTTATAACTTGTTAAAATAAAAATATGAAATACTCTTGAGCTTATAACAATGTAATAACAATATAAGTTAATGTAAAGTACAGTAATAACCTTTTTCTTAAATAAAACCTAAAAAAATAATATCCATTGATATAGGTAATCGTATGAGTACTTATTAATACATACTGGTATAATAATATAAACAATCTGCAGCATTACCACATATTACAACCTCGGTGATGAAAGACATTGTCGGTAACATTAATTACTATATAAATGTCAAGATAATGGTACAGTATGACTAGCTGCTTCCCTACTTGAATACAAAATATCTTAACAGTTGCATATAAAATTCTCACTTGGAGTAATAAGAACCATGGCTATTATTTTTTTTCTATTACTTAAAAAAATAACAAGAGGGTTAAACATTACCAATAAAACCCTGTAACAATTTTTAGGGAGAGTCAGTGATTAACATATTTTACTACCTATTATATGATGCTGTACTGTATTACCAAAACTAAACAACATACAATGAACAGAAAATACTTAATTCTTATGTGTGAAGAGATAGGTAGGCTGATGCTCTAACACTAATGAAAGATTGTTATAATGAGTCACTTCCTTACACCTGAGCACATCACTCAAAGGCCAGACACCAATACATTATTTTACATCACAGACTCTAGAATTAGTTTGATGTCTATTTTTCTTGCCTTTCAGTACCAACACACAGCACTGTATAAGGTGATTTTAAATGTTAATCTGTACTGTAGTTTGGCTTAATGTAGTCCTAAGAGATCTCAACTGGACAAATTCCCCCCACACACACACATACACAAAAAAAAAAGTTCACCTACTCCCTTGTGTAATACTCAGTTCATTGTTTAACCTAAGTGTTATGAATGTAGTGTTGTCCCTGTGATATGATGCCTACTAAACATCAATCTGTTCGATATTTAACACAAATTTGTAGATTAATGTTTATATTCTCTGGTTATCAAGGTCTGATATAAATAGAGTCAAGCTTTATCTGCGCGTTACTCTTCCACATTAGCTCTGGACCTCCTACATTATACCAACTGTGGTTTTCCCTGACTCCTTCCTGTCAAAAAATGCATAAGTATTGCACTGCGGTATATATCGCTTCTGAACAGAGTGCCTGAAGAAATCTTCATTTGTAAAGCATCTTAAGCTTTTGAGTTTTGTCTGGTAATAATCTTAATACTGGGTACTGTACTGTATTCATTTACAAAAGGGGTTTTCCTTAACAACCTGAGTCTTGGCAATTTGAAGTTTCCTCCTCCACTTTATACTCTTAACCACCAGTTGTCTTATGAGCTGGTCATATTGATAACATTGAAATTAAAAGTGGAGCAACACATAAAAATTCCTGACTAGACATTCTACTTACTGGAAGACTCCAGAAGTACTGTACTGGAGTGTGTGTTTGTGTTACACAGTAGAGGGAGCTGTGCTGTATCAATGTGTAGTCCTGTCCTGGATCATATCCCTTAACTTTTGTAGGTTGGGCTTGGTGTCCTGAGGAAATAGATGAACAATATATTTTAAGGCATAATTTACAAGGGTGTATTGATGAAAAAAATTAACTAGTATAAACTTAAAAAGGCAAAGAGGAACTGAAATTTATACCATAAGACTGTCCTATACAGTAGTATAATTCTGAACACGTGTTATATAAATCAATCACAATGATATGGAACAGTAATGAAAAAATTAGCAATTATGATACAGTGAGTTCTGCTATAACGCGTGTTTTGATAACGCGAATTTGCTCTAACACGATTTATGAATAGAGGAACGATATTTGTATAACGTGAACTCTTGTTTGCTGTAATGCGATTTTTGCTTACTATTTCTCCAATTTTGTGGTATTAACTGTGAATATGGTAAAGAAGAATATCTCCAAGAAGCATTCTGGTGATCGAATTCCCGGTGATGATCGTAAAAGAAAGGATATAACACTTGAAGAGAAGCTCGATGTTATCAACCTCAAAATCACCCTTCTCCCCCATCAAGTTATATTCATATTTTTTCAAGGTAAAGTGTAACATTTACTGTATGATTTCATTATTAGATATGACTGTAACATTTATTTAGACTATGCTCTCCTTTGTGTTAGGCTAACTACGAATTTTTTTTTTATTTCGAGTAATCTGCACCTAACCCTATTTTCTCCATAAGCCCTGTTATTTCTATTACGCGATTTTCTATAACACGATATTTTACAAGAACACAACTATCGCGTTATAGCAGAACTGACTGTACTGAAAATACAATAAACCACTCAGGCATGACAACCCCTTTTGTCATGAAAGGATGAAGACTATCCTGTAATGAGAAGACTCCAACCTTACTGCCTAACACGTTTGTACATTGTTTAGAAAATATTATTCCAATGGTACTGACAGAGTACTAAAACAGATTGTTTTGTGTCTGAAAATGAACCATTAATAAATAATGTTAGAAGTAACATTTTCAAACACCTAGTCACTACAAAATTACTGATTGCTATTTTCAAATATTCCACCTGAGGTTGTTCTTAAAAGAACATTTCAACAAAGTTTCCTGACATTTTACTTTAAAACAAGTTTTACTGCAAATGCAATTGTTAGAAAAACTCAAAATTATCTGGATGATGTTGAACCACTTCTCATTATAGCCATCATTCCCAAAACTTTTATATCCCACTTATTCCAATTTTCCTCAACCTATCAGTTTTGCTGATGTCAACATACACTCTCTGGAAATCCTATGATAATTTCATCACTAACCTTCTTATTTATCCTTGTTAGATGAGTAAGATTGACTATAGGGACTATGGATGGGCGGCCATGAGCACACTGGAAGGGCAGTTGGCATGAACACAGTGAAGAGATGAGTTCTTGACACTGACTCAATGTTAACTCATCCCCAAATTTGACAGCTCCTGAAACAACACGCACAATGAAACACATTAACTTCTGGTAACAAACGTAAATCTATCTAGAACACCATCAAAACTTCCTGGGCTACTGTACACAATCATTGAAGAAATCAAATCTAATGAACAATAAAACCAAGAAGATGAACTATGTCTACTAATGGGTATAATTCAATGTACTCTAAGGAATTAAAACATACAAGAAACACAACACCAACTTTTGAAATTTGAAATGAGAGTCATTCAGAGATGGGGAGAGGTTAATAAATTTTATATTATCAGCTATAAGAAGACCTCCATTTAAACTGGCCGACAAGTATTTCTCTCACATTTTCACTGCTCTTAAGTCCTATAATACTGCACAAGGAGGCACTCAACTGGTCTAGACCAGTGATTCTCAAACGGGAGGCACTTGGCTCCCAGGGGAGGAATTTCAAATCCAAGGGGAGGAATTTCAGTCAGGGGAGGAACTTGATGAAACAACAGTTCATGACAGTGAAGCCCTTCTTTTTGCCTATGCAAGGTTCCAGCACAACTCAAAATTCATGGAAGAGATGCTATTTTGCGAGTCTTTGAAAACCACCACCACTGTTCAAGATATCTATAACGTGGTAAGGAAGTACCTGACAGACAACGATATTCCAATAAGTAACATTGTGTCCACTGCTGCGGATGGTGCACCAACAATGATGGGACGACATAAGGGAGTACTGAAACTTCTGAGAGATGATAATCCTGATATGATGACTGTTCACTGTATTATTCACAGAGAGTTTGGCGGCTGCTAGGCTTAGTCCTATGTTGGATGAATCAATGAAGACGGTAATAAAAGTGGTAAATCTGATAAAAGCACATCGAAAGACTGAAAGACTGTTCAAAGAATTCTGTAAGGACATGAATGAAAACTGTGTGAGACTGCTCCTCCATACCCATGCACGATGGCTATCAAAAGGCAACTGTCTGGAAAGGTTTGTATGATACTTTGGTAAAGATCGTGAGGGCTTCCAGTTCATGAAATCCAATGAAGCCAGGGCCTTGATTTCATATCTTGCTGATATTTTTGGTAAATTAAATGCATTAAATAAGGAACTGCAAGGTGAACAGAAGACTCATGGATTGCAAAACCAAAATGTTTGGTTTTATCAGTAAACTGGGTTTTTTGAAGGCCCAGGTCTTGAGAAATAACCTCTCTCACTTCCCACATCTCAGTAAATGTGATCCATCACAAAATGTCTAACAAATAATCTCAGAACACCTCTCCAACCTCCATGATGACCTGAGCGACAGATTCATTGATCTGAAGCAGATGAACTTCCCTTCTTGGATTGCTCAGCCATTTCTCTTTAACTGGGAAAATAATGACTGCCTGGCTAGAATGGAGTCTGATCAGATCGACGAGCTAATGGACATGTAAAATGATGACAGTATGAAACCGATCCATGCATCAAAACAACACTTCAAGTGGCTGGATCCCCAAGTTGTTGCCAAATATAAAAAATTAGCTACAGAGGCTCAGCAAGTGCTTTTGCCCTTCCCAACAACATACTTGGTTGAATGTGCCTTTAGTGCTGTTACGGATATGTTGACTAAAAAACGAGGACGTCTCAACATTTGTGAGCGTGGTGACCTTCGAGCAAAACTTACTGGATTTGTTCCTCGGTTTTCTAGTTTAGTTTCTCTGCACGCAGGCCAAAGTGGGAATTAAATCAAATGGAAGTTTTATGATCCATTGAAATAAGGATTTATTTTTTCATTTGATGGCAATTAATAAAGCAATTTAGTTTCATAAATTGCTTCAATAATTACCACTGTAAAAGCATAACGGTGAAAATATTACTAGATGACAATTCAAAATGGGGGAGTAATTGAGGAAATCTGGGATCGCAAGGGAAGGAATGTGACCTGGGACTCTGAGAACCACTGCTCTAGACTAATTTGTACATGCACTTTGAAAGCTGAATCTGTATATTAAAATTCCTCCACACAAAATATAATCTTAAAAGAAAACCAGATACAATATTAGGAAGCATACACAGTTAAATGGAAGCCTTGTTGGAAGACGCCAACAAAAACTCAGTGTTTACAGTTAGAAAAGTAACTTGTGTATTCTTTTGTATTTACTCGCATGCTACCAAGTTATAGAGGGGCTTAAGCAACTAAGGTTAATCACCCCCAAGAGCCTACCAAGTTTAAACCTAAATATGCTACAGTATTAATCAAGACATGTAAGACATTCAAACTACAGTATTGCCTTTATTAAAAAAATTAAAAAATAGATTCCAAGAGTTTCTAATTTTTACTACTGTGACAAAGGCTCTTATGACTTACCTCTACACGCCTGGCTATTTAGCACATATGTAATAGGTTTTGGCATGGCCCCTACTACGCCTGTTGTCTGGTGAAGTGTATGGCACATGTCGCGAACAATGCTTTCCACGATGGCATTAGCTGTCTGACAACGTTTGTGACGCACTTCACTTGCTTCTTTAGCCACTAAGCAGCTTGGGATTGACTGGAAACTAACTTTTGAGGTACTTATCTTGGGTAAATGAAACAAACAAATTCTTGAAGTTAGTGTTTAGTGAATTGAGAATGAATGAATAAATATGTCATTATTGCACCATATAACATCACTATCTTGTTCACTAAAATGACACAAAATTTTGATAAGAACCTGAAAGAAGTGGCATGTCTAATGTTCACACCATGCCATGGACAATACGTGGTATGTTAAAAAATCCATATCCAAATTTTAGCTTCCAAGTTGGATAAGCAAGTAAGAAAATAAACATGCAGTGAAACCATTGGGTAATCCACATTTGCACTCATTTTGTGTAGCACCTGGAGACAGGAAGGGGTGGGGTGGTGTATAAATAAGCAGTTCCCACGGAACTTTCAAGTACAGTACGTCTCACCCTAAGACTCCTGTCAGAAACTCGACTACATCCCAATTGTCTTTCTAAGAGGTTATTTTTAAATATAGTTCTTATTCATGTTTAGTAGCCACATGCTGGTTATACAGTACTTTACTGTCTACACAATCAAATATGGGAAAAAAATGGTACCCTTCAACATTTAAGGTAAAACCAGGATATTTTTTTTAAATATTCACAACAATTCCAGTAATAGAACCAATACCTTAGTGAACTGTAGGCCTCGCTGAGAAAACACTTCCGAATATGCCATCATCAGTCTGACTTCATCTGCTGGAAGTGACATCTCAAGAGGGGGCTTAACAATTGAACTACGTATTACAGACTCCCCCGAGTCAAGAGTTTCGTAATTCTCTTGTATGATGGTCTCTAAGCGAACTCTCTCATGAACTGCATGTTGGTCAAAGAGGACAATCAGCTGGCTGGATCTTTGTTCATGATGATCATGAGAAGTGTATTCAATGTTACATGCTATAAACTTTTTGTCCAACTGTCCAAGCACCTGCAAGGTGGAAAAACAACTTTTTGACTGTTGGTGTACCTGTACTATGAGTAATCTAATGGGCAATTTACTACTCTTAACAGAAATTATTTCTATATATGTCAAAGTAATAAATCTAAAGCCTACCCTTCATAACTTACAACCTGAAATTTTTTATTGCCAATTAACCTACAATCCAATACCTTTTAAGTGTACAGTACAGCTTGCCATTAAAATTCGCGGGGGTTAGGTTCTGAAAATGGCCGCTAATAGCCAAATCCGTGAATAACATTTGCTGACCAAAGGGGGGGTACATTTTTACTCATGTACAAAGACATTTTTACTCATGTACAAAGAAATGTATATGTATTCCCTTTATGTACGTATTTGCCCTTAGGACAATTATTTCTTTTACCTGTATTGTATATGTGTGTGTGTGTGTGTGTGTGTGTAGACACACACACACATAAAACACATACAAATAAATAATAATGAGAAAATTCTCTCACAAATAATCAGAAACAAGACAACAAAATGTAATAAAAATGTAAGAGTCTACCTTCAAGTCAACTCCATGCTTTAATGTTATTCGCAGATTTGGCAATTTGCAGTCATTTTGAGAACCTAACCCCTGCGAATTTAAAGGGCCTACTTTACATAACTCCAAATAAACAATTCTAAACTGTAAGTAATTAATATACATATAAACAGGTCAAATAAAATACAGAAAAGAACAGTTACAGTATTCAGTATTTTTGTCAATTCATTTACTGTATGTACCATATTATACGGCATATAAGACGCACCGCCATATAAGATGCACGCACCGCCATATAAGATGCACCGCCATATAAGATGCACCCCTCATTTTAATAGGGAGTATTTGGGAAAAAACTTTTGTGTGTATTTTCCTCCTGTAGCCATAGTTTTCTTCAAATAATATATACAGTAACAGTAAATGTGATGAATAAATAAAAATACCAATAAATAAGTTACAACAACAAATACTGTATTGCCAATGCAGTAAATAAAAGCTCAACGAAAGTAAAAGTAAAAGATTGCCAACACGGTTTTATGCCGGGGCGCTCTTGCTTGACACAATTGCTCAAGGTATTGGATATTTGGACCCATATTCTAGAACGGGGTGGTAATATCGACAATATTTACCTAGATTTTGCCAAGGCTTTCGACAGTGTACCCCACGAAAGGCTGAAAATCAAACTGGAAGGGTACGGAATTCGGGGAAATGTCCTAGCGTGGATAGAAGACTTTCTACATGACCGCAAGCAATGTGTGGTGATTAATGGCACGAAATCGTCATCTGTACCTGTAACAAGTGGGGTACCGCAGGGTAGTGTATTGGGCCCGCTGTTGTTTGTTTGTTTCATAAATGATATGCCTGACGTTGTACACTCCTCCATACAAATGTTTGCCGATGATGGCAAGTTATTTCGGGAAATTAAGAACCAAGCGGACTGTGAAGAGCTGCAGAAGGACCTCTGTGGGCTCCAGGAATGGTCGAAGGAATGGCTGCTGAGATTCAATGTCACGAAGTGTAAGAGGATGCACCTGGGGCGTACCAACGGTAAGGAGGCGTACCATATGTCCCAACGGGATGAAGAAAATGTACTAGTTGAGACTGTGTGTGAGAAGGACCTAGGTGTGTATGTTGACAATGAGCTGAAGTTCTTGGGCCATTGTGAGAAGAAGGTAAATCAGGCAAATAAATTATTGGGTCTTATAAGAAGGTCGTTCAGATATCTAGACGGTCCGTCCCTCGTGACGATCTTCAGGAGTGAAGTGCTTCCCCATCTGGAGTACTGTCACTCCATCTGGTCCCCGAGATATGCTAGGGACTGTCAGTTGGTTGAAAATGTTCAAAGGAGGGCCACCAGACTGGTGCCTGCACTTCGGCACCTCAGCTACCCTGAGAGATTGGAGCGCCTGAACTTGCCTAGCTTATACTACAGACGGGCAAGGGGGGACCTAGTTGAGGTTTATAAGCATCTCAGGGGGCACTACTCAGTTGAGTGTCCTTACTTGGAGCTGGCGGACGCTCGCCCCACAAGGGGTCACAGCTCAAGATTGAAGAAGCCAAGTCCAGAAAACCGTGAGGGCAAACTTTTTCGGAGTGAGGGTTGTAAACTCTTGGAACAATCTACCAGAGAGTGTTGTGACGGCACCGAGTGTGAGCTCTTTCAAGAGAAGACTTGACCAACACTGGAGCGGGTTCAGGTACATTCAGGAGCCGGTGCATGCCCAGTATTTGCCAACAGTGCGTGACAGAGACGTGACCGATCGCCCGGGCGGCTAGCGAGCCGATCTTTTGGCGAAGAATATAAATGAAAAGAGACGTGACCGATCACCCAAGCGGCTAACAAGCCGATCAGTGGCGAAGAGGATAAAAGTAAAAGTAAAAATAGTTGCCATTTTGTTATACTCCCTGGTTCACCATAGCAACGCAGACGCCACATCCGCCAGTTCCCTAGCAAGGCCCCCCCCACCTCTCCCGCTCCCCCACTAAGCCAGCTAACTCGTGTACAAAGAAATGTACAGTATATTCTTTTAGGACAATTATTTCTTTTGTTTTTTTTCACAATATGTATATAGGATGGTGTGCATGTAACTGAGTAAAAATAAATTAAGAAAGTTATGTATATCTACCCAAAAATATGAGTTGAAAAACAATAGCTTGGTCCAGTAGCCTGCTTACAGAGACAAGTCTAACCTGGCTACAATGCCACCAGCAATGTTAACAGACACAAATGTGAAAAGAAAGTTATCTGTAAATCTTCATTTATGTCAGGTATTTGTAGACATAAAAATGAATGTTACAGGTAAGGCATTAATAGATTGTAATGCTTGTATGAGTTCAGAAATGGTTACTGCTTAGCTGCCTCTGAAGAGTTGGGTGTCTGCCGTACAGATGTTAATTGTCTCAGGTTATCGTCATCAGTACAATAGAATAAATTGAGTTTATATTTACAATAATAATTTTGTTAATTAATTAAAAAATAATAATGTGTTTAAATAAGCAAAAACATATTTTTAACTCTGGAGTTGTGTTAGTTAGAATTTAGCCTACTGGAGACAGCAACGGGGAGATTCATTAACTTATGGGAGACCACAACTTCACATACAGGGTGCAGGCTGATTTTTTAAGAAATTTTTCAGACAAAAAAGTGCATCTTATATGCCATAAAATATGGTAACTTTTGTGCTTAAAAAAATTCAATGTTATTGACATACCTTGCACGACTGGAGCATCTCTCTGGAAAACTTGTATGGATGGACAATATTGTACACCCTCACCCCACCTTCTTTTTGTGTTATAGCTCCTCTTTCTGCAGTTGTTGCTAGAGCTTCTGAGGTCAGGATATCAGCATCCATGGCAAAGTTTGGAGCTTCCCATAGCCGACAAATCTGAACAACTTCTGAAGGCTCAGACATGTCCTGTTGGAGTCCAGCAGGTGGTTTATTTGACCACTTTATGGTATCATCATCAGCTTCAAGATCCTTCAACACTGAATTTATGGCCTCTTTGACTTTAGTTGTCACAAATGAGTTACTGTTACTCTCACCTCCATGTCTGCCTCCTTCCTCCAACACAATATTGCTCTCCAAATTATCCTTGCTGTTTGACGATCCTACGTCCAATGCGGTAGTTTTACATTTTCTGCTCAAATCCATATTTTTCTCAAGATCTCTAGTTTTTTTCCATGACATAAAAGCACTGAAGCCATGGCTGAGACTAAAAGCAGGTCTACGTTCTGAACCTTTTCTGACAGGGTTATACCATGGCTCATTTGATAATGGTACTTTGAGTAGAGGTGCTCCAAGTGGCTGGCTACTGGTCCATTCAGGGGCAGGCCCCAGTTGTGGTGGGTCATATGATGTGTTACCAGTGTGTAGATCAACATAAACCTTTTTTCCATCTTTATCACACACTTCCTTCCACCTGTTACCTAAGCATAATGTACCTTCACTCTGGGAGCTGGTGTCTCGTGGTTCATCTGACTTGTTAATATTATCTAATGTAGAACACTGGGTCATATCATCATCACTCTGACCATTTACAGTCCTAGTCTTATCTAATTCTTCTATTCCGATAGCTCCTGTTTTTTTATAAAGAAACTCGGAGTCAGAACCCAAACTGTCTACACAATTACTTTCCAAATTTTGTGTATTTTTTTTTGATGATGATAACAGAGATGCTATATTAACATTACACTGTATGCCATCACCACTATTTTCCACACATTCTTTTTGACATTCCTTATCTTTTCTTGAGGGCATCTCTTTCTCTGTCTTGTGTGTCATTCTATTAGAAAAGGAAGACATACTGCTTAAGGACATATTGATAGACCCTATATTTTCCATGTCACAAGTAACTTTGTTGGATGTTTCCTGATACAGTTGCTGAGTCTCTGCCACATCTTCTGGTAAAGTCAATTGTGAGATGTGAAGAGACTCAGAGAATGGGTCTGGTGATTGAGTGTTATCTGAGCTTATTACTTTCATGTCAGGGCTGTTGCTACTGCTTGTGACATCGAATGTACTCTTTTGAATTTCACCTGAGGGTAACAATGGCAAATCAGGTTGTGCCTTTGTTCTTTCATTTTTATTACAAAACTGTATATTCTGGCCTTGAATAAGATCCTCATCAGAATTGTTGAGAACTTGTGATGAAACAGCAGTCTTTGTGTCAGAAGTGTCTATGCCTCTTGCTTCAACTTGGTTTATATTTTGGACTACATTATCCACTTGTTCCGATTCCTCACAGGTATTTGTCCCATTCTTGCCAGCAGTTGTGGACTCCAGATCTCCTAGAATGCTATCAATCTTTTGGAAAACAGTCATAGGATCAGATTCTAATATACCCTCAAAAGTTTTGTGAGCTCCTGTCTTTGAAGCTTCAATATGGAAGTTTTCAATCAAATCTTTTGGTGTAAAACCTTGAGTCTCTTGTACAGGAACACTGTTACTCTTGTCTTTGTCTTGACAGCTTGACGAGTTGTGCATTTCCTTGTTTTGCGAACCTGGATATAAATCTGAAAGTATAAAACCTTGGGACTGTTGTATGGCACCACTTTCTTTCTGCATGTCTTCACAGTGTAAATTATTAGATTTTTTGTTTTCTAAGATGCCTTCTACCTCAAAAGGTTGTGTGGAGGTGGCAATGTTCATTCTGTCAGTCATACAGGATTCTTTGTTATTTCTTTTAGGTCCATTTATATCAACTTCATCCATAAGTTTTTCACAATCTGTCTTAGGTATTTTTAGTCTTAAACACAAGCGAGACGATGAACTGGACATTTGTGGATCAGTTTCCGTCCCTTTCTCCAAGAATTCCCTGCATCGTGATCCTCCCTTACACAATGGTCTAATTACACTTGAATACTGATAGTGTCTTAATGACTCTGGTGGACTAAATGTTTCACGGCTGGATCCAACTGTAACTGCAGTCCTAGAATTTATATCAACTATTTCAGAATTTTGTCTTAAAATATCATTTTCCACTCGAGTTTGGGGAGTTGGGCCTAACACCACCTTATGATTTGATGGTGAAAAGACTTCACTTCTTAGAGTACTATTTTTCTTTGGTTGTTCGACTTGGATAATAGGAATAATCTCAGGAAATGGATTATAGTTTTCTGCATAGTTATGAAGGGCCTTACTTCTCTCTGGGACTCCTTGATGATCAACTTTCATATTACAATGAAATATTTCTGGAGGAGAATTTGAGCAGATAGTCTTTCTTTCAACACTATGAGCGTCATTCTGTGTTTTTATTCTGTTATAAGTGATAGGGAGGACATTACATGATCCAGGATATTCCATGTGATCTTTTCTATCTGATAATTTTATTTTAATCTCATCCTCGCCTATTTTCTTTAAGATAACTGGCTCAAACCTAAAGCTAATATCTAGATCCTCAGTATTTGTATTACAGTTTACCTCTTGACTCTCTACAGCCCCGGAGACACAAGCTTCTGCTCTTTCTTGAGATTGTGAAAAACTAGATGGAATATTGTCACCGTATTTGTCGCTATCTTTTTGTATTATATGTTCGTTCTTATTGAGAGTATGACTTGCATGAACTGGCACTGCATTTGTCTTTTGGTATTCAAAATTTTGAAGAGTCTGTATTTTTTGCATTTTGCTTTGGTGTTTTTTCCATTTAGAGCTTAAGGTTTTGCAAAGGGATTTTGTTTCATTATTCTTTTTAACATCTGATCGCAATCTAACAACTGAGAGTATTTCACCTCCTCCGTCTTGTGACGTAGAGAGAAACCTTTTTGTGGTTTTCAGTGGTGGGGGTGATGTGGGCGGGTGTAACACTGCCTGTTCGGGAGTCTTGTATGATTCAAGTTCGGTCTTTCTTTTATCAGCATTATAGAACTTCATGAATTCTTCTAAGGAACTAAAATTTTCATGTAAATGTTCACTAGACTTGTTTCCACAACCCTCATTGTCAGATGTTCTTTCAGGATCCCTCTGAATCACTGATGTTTCTACTAATGTCACACTACCAGGCTTCACTCTAAAATTATCTTGTCCACTTAATGATTCATCACTTCCAACACTACTGTCTGCTATAACATTTTTAAATTCTTCTAAAGAACTAAACAAAACATTACCAGTATTTTCTGAAATAGGAAAATCACTTGAATTTTTATCACCTCTAAATGTACATTCTTCTATCAGTACCTTATTTGCTTCAGTATGGGGCATCTCTACCTTAGATACAGAATTTGATGGTTTGGGGAAATTATCTTTTGAAGGAGCATCTCGGTGATGCAAATTTTTTCCATTAACACTGTTAATACGTTGGTTTATATTTTCATGTACTTTATCACTATTACCAGCATTATCTTCATTCATATCGATGTTATCTGAGCTTTCAGAACTTTTATGTCTCTTCTTTATTCTTTTGACAGGTAAGCTATGAACGGCCAATAAGTTATCCTGGGTGCAAATAGTGTGCCCATACTTTTCTGTGTGTGTACCAGGTTCATTCTTTTCTTCTATGTTCCTTTTGAGGCTGAACATCTGAAGTAGTGATGGACTGCTCTGACTCACAGTTGAACTGACTTCATCATCTACCTCTTGATCTTTGCCTGATCTCCGATACCTTTCGTCAATTGAGATCACCAAGTTCTCTTCCTCAATAAATTTGATTATCATTTCCTCAATACAAATTAAGAGTTTATCCCAGTCTTTGAATTCAACTAAAGTTTTCTTTGGCTCAAGACAAATGTCATACTCACTGTAAGGACATTCAATATTTATCAAAAATATGCAATAAAGATTCATCCCTTTTGCAGGACTTGAAGGATTTTTTCCTGACCCTGTACTGGTTGGATGAAGTCTAGTGCTGATGATGGAACTTTTAGAAAGCAGAGCATTAATCATTTTGTGGATCTTTGTTTTTAATATAACTCTTTTATTTACATAGACAAACTGCAGAGCTTTAGTCAAGTGTGGATGTGTGCCAATATATCCTGTAACTGTAAACTGGTCAAGTGTATGTTCAACTTCTGCAAGTGTCTGGGCTTTATCTGCACCAAACAGCTGCATGAAGGTTGACATGATACAGCTGGTCTTAGATGTCTGCATAACCACTATGTTGTTCGTGTCATTTCTCAAGTTGAGGGAGACCTTGGGATGCATCAAGGCAAAACTTTCCAATCGTTTTCTTATAGTCTCAATGTCAATGGCTTCTTTGATCAACTTTCGTCTAACTGGCATGTTATACATAAAATCCTGAATTGTCAGGGTAGTACCAACACTTGGTCTTGGGGTTTTAGCATTACTGACACTTTTTTCTTTTCCATAAGTGAAAAGTTTTGAGAAGGTCTTGGTCGAGCCCCGGGGTCTAGTTGTGATGTCAACAATAGCTGCCATATCAATAATACTAGCAAGAGCTTCTCCACGGAATCCATAATGTGACAAGTTACTGTTGAGATCATCCAGAGTGTGACATTTGCTTGTTGCGTGCCTGAAAATGTAAATAGGAGAGAAATCATTACCTTACTGCTCTTCATTATGATACTGTATTCTGGGTATTATTTAAATATCAGTACAGCATATGAAATGATGAATTATATTTAACTACTGTACTGTACTGTATTCCACTCTTTAAATCTAAGATCCTTCTAAGGTCCTTCTACCTTAGAGATATACATCACTGACCTTAATTAAAACTCAAGTAACCAAGAGGAAACTAGCTTGTCCATGGTCATACAAACAGACTTAATCCCATATGCTTCCCCTTAAATCTCATTTGTGGAGTGGCATAAAAAAATTATGAATATATGTAATCATTTATCATTATGAACAAACTTTCCAGCAAATACTGCATTAATTTTCTGGTCAAATACATTTACAACACCCCACGGTGGTCTGACTTACATTACAAACCTTTATATTCATGTACAGAAACTATTTACATGTACTGTACCTTTAAAATTTTACTATTTAACTTCAATCTACCAATTTAAGTTTCTCTACTTCTATTTTCCTCCTGTTTTATTGATGTTAAAGTAGCTCACAATCCAGTCACAAAATCTTACGTCTTAGTACAAACAAATACAGGTTGACCATCAAAAATCCGCCAATCGATAAACCGGAACCTTCAGTTTTCTGGCATGGATTTCGGAGCGCATTTTCAAATTTCCTGCCTTGGCGCACCATTGTTTTCTGGACGTGCCGTTTATGTTTTGATTGCGCTGTACTCCAGAATCAGCTGTTGGGTCTTGCTTGCACCTGCTAACAAGCATTCATGCTCATTCCTTCTAATTTTATCATTTAATTGCTGCTGTATAGCCCCATCATGGATTCAGCAAATAAAAAGCGGTGGCGTAAAACGTAAACATCGTGCATTGTCGATCGCAGAGAAAGTGGAAGTGCTTAAGAAACTTGATAGCGGCGTGTTTAAAGGACTGTACAGGTAGTCATTTTCTGTTAAACTTATACAGCAAATATAACCATCAGTTTTCCGGCATTTTCGAAAATCCGGGACTCCTCAGGTCCCGAGGTTGCCGGATTCTTGATAGTCAACCTGTACTGCCTACTTAACCTCACAGCCACATCAACACACAACACTTCAATAAATATTTCAGGCCTGTCCATTGTAAATATCGTAAGTGCCAGTGTTTGTACAAGAATCTGTGTATGGTACATTGCTATGACCAAGGTAAAATTCACTTAATCTATTTTTACACAAAATATTAAATATGAAAAACTAATTAATTAATACCCTCATCTCTATCACACCATCACCACTGTCAAATCTTACCTTGTTCCTAGATATTTGAGATCACCATGACTCACTCCATGGCCATTGTCCACAATCTGAATTCTAAATATGCTGAGGTCCACTCTGACTGCTATGCAAGTTGCACTAGCATCAAGACTATTTAAAACCTGCAAAGAATTAAAAGGGATATTAACTGTCAGGAAGAAACTGGGTGTACTCGCTGATGGTGGATCAGCGTCCTGCCAAGTGGGGGGGGCGGGACCCATGAACTGGAAAATTAAAAGAACTGAAGATCAGCTCTGGTCCAGCTACCACGCACTACAGTAACCATGAAAAAAGTATAAAAGAAGAAATAACCACAACACTAATATATGTACTGGGGTACCTGTACTGTACTTTGGTGATTTAGCAAGACTTTTAAATACTGTACTGTACTTTATAGATAAATTTGCTCAAAATCTCAACACTGTACTGATACCTTTACTGTAGATACTGTAATCCCCAACACATTGATCACAGATTTGTGTGAAAAAAATCAAACTTGATTAGTATTTAGTGTTAATTAATTTCCCTCCAGGAATTTCATCAATTTTTACATACAGCGTGCCCTTAAAATGTGCAGGGGTTTGGGTCTCAAAATGGCCATGAATATCATTTGCTGACCAGGAGGGAGGAGGGTAAATTTTTACTTGTGTACAAAGAAATGTAAACATATTCCCTTTATGTTTTTGCTCTGAGGACAATTATTTATTTTACCTGTATTGTATATGTGTGTGTGTATGTGTGTAGACACACACATGCACACAAAACACATACAAATAAATAATAATGGGAAAATCCTCTCACAAATAATCAGGAACAAGACAGCAAAATGCAGCAAAATGTAGAAAAAATGTGAGTCTACCCTCAAGTCAACTCCATGCTTTATTATTAAAGTTGAGTTGGTTGGGTTGCCGTACAGCAATTTTTTTCTAGTAAAAATTACTGTCTTTAGAACGAATGGCTCCGTGTCCCAGCCGTGAAAATACTGGCAAATTTAAAACTACCCGCAGACATTCTTGGGTACATCCAGGGTGTCATCCGCGAATTGTCAGGGCATGTTGTACTAATTACTTGATTCATTTATGTTCTAGAAGATGATCTTATTGATTCTGTTGTCAGGAAAAAGCTGATGAACCTTTCAAACATGTTAATCTCCAACTGTAGAATGATAATTGTTTTAGCAATACAGTATTAAAAAAATAATGGAATTTGCACAGACTCTCTTCAGTAATCCCAACATGCTGATTATAGATCTGGATTTAAAAATTGGGGTACAGTATCCATTGCTAATTATTGACCTTTGAAATAATTCAACTCGTATTCACACAATAAAAACTTAAGTCGTGTAAGCTTTAGATTCATTCACGCTGGTGAATCATTAACCCTTACGCCCAGGGCTAGGGTGCAGCTGGCAGTACCCCACACGGGGGTAAATCGAGAAAAATTAACTTTTCCAAAAATTATTTTTAACCATTTTAAATGATAAAACAATAAAAAAGAAGTAAGAAAAACTATATATTGACCCTCTATAAACTTCCCTGGGGCCACAGTGGTGAGGGAGATAAGGGGACAGTGTTGTTTTGACAGCTTGTGCTGGTGGTCACTACGCACTTAGCGGCCATTTTCTGTTTGTCTTTGTGTCCGGGATGGCCAGTAATGCATACATTTACTGACCATAATACTTATATCCTTTAAATAATTCATTTAGAATTTATTCTATTGGCATTATTTTTCATAAAATGTGCTCGGTGACACACACAGTCTGCCGCCAGGTTGAGGAACAACTCTCCATGGCGACAGGCTAATGTGTACTAACAGCACTCAGCCCACCCACACTACCCTGCATGTGGCGTGACCACCAAATAGTCATGCTGGAACCTAATAACACATGCTGGGCATTCAAACAATGACGCGAAAAGGAGCACGTTCCAGAACGTCAACCTGGGCGCCCTAGATGGACGTTCTGGAACGTCAACTGGGGTGTAGGGGTTAAAACACGGTAATTTCCAGTTTCAAGACAAAATGTGTTTTAGGTAAAAAAAAATTAGCTGACATTAAATGCATCTCTGTACTGTACTTTTGAAATGCTTCTAAAAACATTGATTCTGTTCTAAAGTAGAGGATAGATAGTCCTCAACATGCTGATTAAGGATCCAGTTTAAAAATGTGAAATTCAAGTTACTATACAGATTATTATTGTAGTGATATTTTATGACCCTTGGTTACTTTCACCTGTTCCCAAACACAAATTACTTAAAATTCTGTAAGTTTTGATAATGTTTTTATTCATTCCACATTTACAGCCATGCTGTTGAACCAATGAATAATAATCATTTGCAACTTCTAGATAAAAAAGTATTTTAGGTAAAATTTTTTAGATTTTGTTCAAAATCTTACTACTGTACTGTACTGTATTATACAGACAGTCTTCTATATCCTGATTAAGGATATGATCATAAAAATGAAAATTTTGAGAAATAAATATTACTTAATGACTGAAATAATTCCATTTATTTTCACAGGCTTATTACTCAACCCCTATAACTTTTAGATGCTGTGTTTTTAGTAAGAAATCAGGCTCTTGAACCAGTATTCAGATATTGGTGCATTTATATACAATATACCAACTCAGCTTTGACTAAACTTTAATAACCAGTCTTACCAGTTCTTCCACACACTGGGCAACAGAGGTGATAGTTATTCCTGAGCGCAACTGTGATCTCACTGACTCTGGTAATGGGAGGATCTTGGATGACATGAGGGACTTATCAAGTGTATCCTGAAATTAATAAAAACTTCTTAGTACAGTAGTAGAAAAACTCTCTAATACAGGAAAAACTCAAGAATATGGAAATTCTAAGTTCACTGACAATATTGAGTAATAGAAATTCTGGGTAATTTGTTCAGAAATAATTTGGTATTTAATCTATTGAGATTTTATGATGGGATAAGCTAAGCTATCTACTCATAACCATTCTTGTTTCAATGTATGACATGTAAATATAGAGAGTAACAACAAAAAGAAATTTAAACTTTTACAAATTGTGCATTAAATCTGACACAGCCATTTCTGATATTTGACGAATTATACAAACTGTACCGGTACTTACTATACCTGTTAAGCAATTCCTGTAATCTTCTTCCAAAAGTGGTTAAGCCAGAAGTCCTTCACAATTCTGCTTCCTAAGGGGATTAAATGATTCTTATGATTTGCATCACTCCAAATACTACAGCATAACTACAGAGAACTTTCTTTAATGTCACTGATGGAATCTTACCACAAGTCAGGTCTAGTTCCTTTCCTTGATTGCTGCACTTATAACCAAGAGAACATTTTTACTATGCAAGCCAAGGAATCATCTAGTATCTAGTGTATTCTACCAGATTCTTAATAAGATAAATATGACACATCCCTCCATCTGACCAGTGGAAATGTTTTATGAGCATCTCCTTGGGAGGTACAGTACAGTAAGGGTTTGGCAAAGCTTAAGGAGAAAGCTCCATAATTCTTAATGGATAATTTGGTCGGCACATTGGCTAGGTCAATATTATTGTAAAATTTAATCCATTATTAGGAGTTGTTTCTAACATCATACTGCAGAATTTTTTTGTTTTACTCATTAAAATCTAACACAGAACATACAACAGCCTCAAACATTGTTAATTTGTGAAATTTTTATGATAATACAGTGCTGTACTTGTCTCATATACAGTAGTACGGATTGCACCACACTGGCAACTACAGTATATCATTACTTCCAGGTGCTGTGTGTCCCCCGGTGGCTTACACAAATAATATCAATACCTGTAACGATGGAATCGATAAATAAATATGTATGTATGTCTGTCTGTCTGTCTGTCTGTATGGTCAATTTTTTGATTAAGAAGATTAGTAAGGGCTGGGTCACTGCCTTATGACCGGAACAATGTGGACACCTGCTATCCCCTAGAGACTTGATCTCACTGTCCTCTACTGTATATATTAGCCTTGTCAAGTATTACTCCTTAGTCTGTACTCACCCCTGAAGATGTGAATTACACGAAAGCGCTTGGGAACTTCGTGTTTTCTTGTTTCCTTGTGGTTATCAGCATATACAGTACTTGGATCACGCGCACCTACAGTGATTTATATATATATATACTGTATATATATATATATATATATATATATATATATATATATATATATATATATATATATATATATATATATATATATATATATATATATATATATATATATATATATATATATATATATATCATACAAGTCCACAATGGAAACGTGAATAAGATAAATCTTGATAAAATCACACAAGAAAAAGGGAAACAATGGAGCACCTTAGCTTTTGTCTTTATTGAATACATCTTCAAAGCAACTGAATTTACAGGGACTGTGAGAGGCTTATATATACAATGAGTGACCTTACATAACATGAGGTCAGGTCAATAAGATGGGATCCAATAATCCACACACCACCCCTACCACAAATGAAAGGAGAGCTTATAAAAAATGGGTGACATAACAACAGGTCAGGTCAATAACATGAGACCCACTAATCATCTACCCTACATCCACCTTAAATGCTTTCAAAGCAAGTCTGATTAGGGAAATTAATTCTATAAACCTTAGTGATGGTCAGTACAAAACTGATATGTTACACAAATATATTTGTCAGTGGCCCACTGCCCTATTAAGTGAATTTAACTCAGTTGAACTTTGTTGAATATATCAGTGTTCTTGTTTTAAAGTAGTTGAATGTATTATGTGCCAAATGATACTGTAACACAGGCATGGCCAACCTGTGGCTCGAATCATGTCTTTGTGCGACCCACACAGTTTATGGCCAGTAAAGCAAAATTTATTAAAAGAATAATCTTAACACACAATTCATTACTGTTTCATCACCTAAGAGTAAGTAACTATGAAAATGTAACAATAAAACAAGTATAAATAATCAAAAATATTAACATTTTAACCTGTGTGAGTTTACAGGTGGAGGTCACAGGGGTCAAAGGTAAAGGTCACTTCCTTGTTGACAGACTGTCTCTCTCCATAGTACCTCTTCCTTCATGCCTGGCTGTCTGTTCTATCTATTTATTCTTGTCTGAGTGGATGTACCCAAAGGTTGTTTCATTGTAGTTCCTCATGCATCAAGATTAACATAGACATTATTCTGGTGGGTGTGTCTCATAAGCAAGAAAAATGATGTAGCTGTTGGAAAAATCAACATATTCACAGACAGCTTCACTCATGCCAAGAAACATTAACATATTACTGTACTTCAAAAATTTATTATGATGAATTTGTTTCATAAATGGGAAAAAGACCGATTGCAAACTGAAAATATCGTAAGGTGTTCATGACGATAAACTGTTTTACTGTACGTGCTAATACAATGTTAACATTACTTTTGGGTTAGGTAGGATATAAATTTTGGTGGGTTGGCCCCCAGAAAAATACCTAAATCGTTATGCGGACCATGACTGAGGAAAGGTTGCTCATGCCTGCTGTAACATACCTGGGCACCTTCTGTGTTGAAAGAACCATTCGTTCCCTTGCCAGACGTGTTTTGTGACATTTTGTAAATTGACTTCTTTGACACTCCTTCCCCGTCTACCAGGCACTGTATGTGTTGTTGCCACTGCCAGGTATCGGTAGCCACCTGCAGGCAAGATGTCTTTAATTCATTGAGATTAAGACCCGAGTGCATCACGAGCCCGGGGAGCCAGTCAAGGGAGAGTGAGTTCTGGAGCATGAGCCCTGCCGTGGGTCCAGAGTGTAGCCGCTTGGCATTTGTTTTGAATACCAGTGGTGTAAGCCTGGTATATTCATCCTGACATATGTGCTAATTATTATTGTGTACATTATTGTAGATTGATTATCAGGAATATAACTGTCCCAGGTTGAGTATTGAGACCATAAATATTACTATCACCAGTCTCAGAGTTTGTTATGTGTGTGGGTGAACCAGCTGTACTCATAGTTGATATCTGCTGGTATATTTTTCCCTGTAATCAAGTAATAACATGGTGCTCTAAGTAATACCATCACTCTGTACTATTGACGAGTGTTAAGAGTGACCATCACTTTAGTATCATTGGTGTGTAATAATACCATAAGGTGATAAGTATTGACTGTTTTAACTGATAATTGAAGATCTATTTTTGCTACTTACTGTATAAAGTACGATCTATTGGTCAGTTCTATTTTGTGTGTTACAGTAACGTACTCAGTAAGTGTAACTAAGTTTTGTATTTTGAGTGCAGGTTCGAAATATCACCATATTTACACTTGCATTTAATAAATAACTCTTCAGTATAATGTATCACCGCTCATTCCTTCTAATAATTGCCATCCCTGAAAATACACTTGATAACTCGCATGCCTAACCTCTTGTGCATACCACACTACCAATTCAATCGAGAGGTTCATTGTTGATGTGATATTCTAAAGAAAGCCTGGGTGGTGGCAGCTCTTAAGATGTGAGTGCAATAAATACAGTACACGAATGTGAAGAATAGACAAGGATGTGGTTCTCCCAGGATAACTCATAGAACAGATTATAACTACGTATAACACCACCCATCATCACTACATATAACAACATCCACCATCACTACATATAACACCATCCATCATCACTACATATAACACCACCCATCATCACTACATATAACAACATCCATCATCACTACATATAATCATCACTACATATAACACCATCATCATCTTTACATATAACACCACCATCATCACCATATAACACCCATCATCACTACATATAACACCACCCATCATCACTACATATAACACCACTTACATCATCCACTACACTTATGCTTTACCATCATCTTTTCATATATTTTAATCTATCATCACTACATATAACACCACCCATCATCACTACATATATCACTATCCATCATCACTACATATAATACTCCATCATCACTACATATAGCACCATCCATCACCACTACATATAACACCATCCATCATCACTACATATAACACCATCCATCATCACTACATATAACACTATCCATCATCACTACATATAGTACTATCCATCATCACTAAATATATCATTAACCATCATCACTACATATAACACCATCCATCATCACTACATATAACACCATCCATCATCACCACATATAACACCACCATCATCACTACATATAACACACACCATCTTTACATATAACGCACCCATCATCACCATATAACTACCATCATCGCACATATAACACCACCCATCATCACTACATGACACCATCCATCATCACTACATATAACACCACCCATCATCACTACATCATCCATCACCACCCATCATCACTACATATAACACCACCCATCATCACTACATATAACACCACCCATCGGCATCACTACATACCTTACCATCCATCATCTACATATAACACCACCCATCATCACCACCTGTACATCCATCATCACTACATATAACACCATCCATCATCACTACATATAACACCATCATCATCACTACATATAACACCATCCATCATCACTACATATAACACCACCATCATCACTACATATAACACCATCCATCATCACTACATATAACACCATCCATCATCACTACATATAACACCATCCATCATCACTACATATAACAACATCCATCATCACTACATATAACAACATCCATCCATATAACACCATCCATCATCACTACATATAACACCATCCATCATCACTACATAACAACATCCATCATCACTACATATAACACCATCCATCATCACCACATATAACACCACAATCTATCATCACTAAGCATATAACACCATCCATCATCACTACATATAACACCATCCATCATCACTACATATAACACCACCCATCATCACCACATATAACACCATCCATCATCACTAAATATAACACCACCCATCATCACTACATATAACACCACCCATCATCACAACATATAACACCATCCATCATCACTACATATAACAACATCCATCATCACTACATATAACACCATCCATCACTACATATAACAACATCCATCATCATCACTACATATAACACCATCCATCATCACTACATATACACCACCCATCATCACTTACATATAACACCATCCATCATCACTACATATAACACCACCCATCATCACCATACATAACACCATCCATCATCACTACATATAACACCACCCATCATCACCACATATAACACCACCCATCATCACTACATATAACAACAACATCCATCATCACTACATATAACACCATCCATCATCACATATAACACCACCCATCATCATCACATATAACACCACCATCATCACTACATATAACACCATCCATCATCACTACATATAACACCACCCATCATCACTACATATAACACCATCCATCATCACTACATATAACACCACCCATCATCACTACATATAACACCACCCACCATATAACACCATCCATCATCACCATATAACACCACCCAATGTCATCACATATAACACCACCCATCATCACTACATATAACACCATCCATCATCACTAAGCATATAAACACCACCCATCATCACTACATATAACACCGGCCCATCATCACTACATATAACACCACCCATCATCACTACATATAACACCATCCATCATCACTACATATAACACCACCCATCACTACATATAACACCATCCATCATCACTACATATAACACCATCCATCATCACTACATATAACACCACCCATCATCACTACATAACACCACCCATCATCACTACATAACAACATCCATCATCACTACATATAACACCATCCATCATCACTACATATAACACCACCCATCATCAATACCATATATAACACCACCCATCATCACTAAGCATATAACACCATCCATCATCACTACATATACCACCACCCATCATCAACATATAAATACCACATCCATCATCACTACATATAACACCACCCATCATCACTACATATAACAACATCCATCATCACTACATATAACACCATCCATCATCACTACTAGATATAACACCACCAACATCACTACATATAACACCAAATTCCATCATCACTATATATAACACCATCCATCATCACCACATATAACACCAAATCTTTCATCATCACTACATATAACACCATCCATCATCACCACATATAACACCACCCATCATCATCGTTATAACACCACCCATCATCACTACATATATAACACCATCCATCATCACTACATATAACACCACCCATCATCACTACATATAACACCACCCATCATCACTTCATATATATAAATTCATCATCACCACAATATACCACCACCCATCATCACTACATATAACACCGCCCATCATCACTACATATAACACCACCCATCATCACTACATATAACACCATCCATCACTAATATAACACCACCCATCATCACTACATAACACCATCCATCATCACTATGACAACACCATCCATCATCACTACATATAACACCACCATCATCACTACATATACCAACATTCATCATCACTACATATACAGTGATCCTCGTTAACGAAAGGCCTCGGTTTGATGCAGGCTTCAGTTAACGAGCACTCCCAAAAAGACTTTTTAACTGCTAACGAGCAACCGGGTTAACGAAGTGCTTCTAAGTATTTACTCATGTTTTTGCTTTTGCATATAGCCAACCAGCTGTAGTATATCCGCCAATACAGTAATCGTCTTAGGCTTAAATCCCTTACTATTTTAGTAAATATCAAAGCTTTACATTATTCAATAAATTTAAAAGTTTAATATTAAATATTTTAGTAATTTTAACAATTATTGAACATAATTGAAGGTAAAGTCACTAGTTTTATGCTCGCCATCCAGCCATTTAACACACCAAACAAACGTTAGTCTCTCATTTTCAGTGGAGGTAACATCTTTTGGTTTGAGACTCTTCAACTAAACGCTTTTTTTCTGTGTTTCCTGCCAAATTATTGGTCATTTGAATTTATATTTACATAGCTGGTCAATATATATTTGAGGCAAAGTGTTATTTTAAAGAAAATATTCTTTATTTACAGCTATTAATCTTTAAAATCAAGTTGATTACGTTTTAAATCCAGCATGGGCCTAAGAGATCAAGAAATATTTAACCAAAACCAAGCAGGAAATTATAAAACATGAACAAGTGGCATTAGAACAATGCGCCAAGTGTAAAGAATATGGCATGTCGGTTATCTAACTGTGTCGACAAATTTTGCACAGAAAGACAAATTTAAAGAAGTGAAAGTGGAGAGACAAATGTTACTATCTGGATTAGGGAAAACAGATGAAAGGTGAGTCAGTTTACTGAATTATTTGCAGCAGAGCCAGGAGATTTACTTAACATTTAAAGACAGATCAAATTTGCTCTTCAGGCAAGAATTTGAAGATTTCGCCAGCAAAGGCTGGTTCGAAAAATTCTAAGAAAAGAAGTGACATTTTCAGTAGTTGTTAGGGCATGGTGAAGCTGTTAAAGGATAAAGAAGGCAGTAAAAGTTTTTTAGTGGAATTTAGAAGAACTTTATTTGAAGAAGAAAATTGTCTTCCACAGCAAAGTGTTCAATGTGGAAGAAATTAGGTTGTTTTGGGAAAAGATGCCCAAAAAGCTATCATTCATCAACAGAGAGATGAAGCCTCTTATCAGTATAACCATGAAAGACCATCTCACTCTATTGCTTGGTGCCAATGCTTCAGATTTCCAACTGAAGCCAATGCTTATTCTGTTTCACTCTGAAAACCTAGGGTGTTCAAAACAACAGAAAGTGGTAAGAGCAAAAGTTTTGAATTTATTGGAAGTCCAAACTGTATAAAATATGGGTGACAAGACAGCTCTTTTAATGAATGGACTGTTGAGGTTTTTGCCCTTCTGTCAAGAGCTAAATTAACCACCAATAAACTCCTGAAAGGCTCTTCCCCATGGATAATGCTCCTGTCATAACTTTGAACTTGCCAGAACTTTATACTAATAGATTCTTAGAAAGTGTTGTTTTTGCCTCCCCAACACTACATCAATCATACAGCCAAAGGACCAGAATGTGATCAGCAACTTCAAGAAGTTGTACATGTATTATTAAAAATGGCTTAGAGGTGTCAACAACCTGTCGATCCAAATCCAACACTGAAACAGTTCTGGAAGCTATAATAATTCAACATCCTGGAGCTAAAAACTGACAAACACAAGTTTCCCACCACATCCTCAATTCTTCATGGAAAGCACTGTAGCCATCAGTAGTCCATGATTTTGAGGGGATTTGAGGATGACACAGAGTTGACCAGGAGGTACAGTCCATTATTGGGGCCAATACTGGGCCTGAAGTGGAAGAGGATGATGTCGGAGAGCTTGTGATGTCTCATGAGGAGGAAACTTACTCCTATTTAATTCTGAAGCAACTGGATGAGATGTTAGAGCTTATTATGAGGAGGAAATTGAAAGATGACCATATGTCAACTAAAGAATTGAAGGATGATTTACCACTGGGAGAAGTTAAGGAACTAGCTTCAAAGCACCCAGATGGAAAAACTGAACTAACTTTTGTGTCATGTTAAGGACTCAATGGCTCTTCTTAAAACATAAGTTAATGGTGAGGAGGAGAG